CTCCACTTAGAATGATTGTTGGAGGTTCGAAATCTGCAAAGGTAGAGAAGGGAGGAACTTGAGAGGAAACAAGAGGAAAATAAAGTTTCCAAGAAGAAGGGGACATGTCTTCATAGAAGATCACGTCCCTTGACACAATGTCTCTTTTTAGGAGAGGATCCCACATTAACCAGCCCTTACTTTCCTTGGCCATGCCCAGATGCATGCCCCATGCTGCCTTACTTTCAAACTTGCTGCGTTTGTCATCTAGCACTTTGTACTGGCCCATGCAGCCAAATACTCGCAGCATGGACACATTTGGCTTTATGCCATATAATGCCTCATAGGGTGTAATACCCTCAGCAATGGAGCTTGTCAGTCGACGATTCTTGACCCAAGCAGCATGTGTAACAGCTTCTCCCCACCATGAGTCATCCAGATTCATGTGGGAAAGAAAACCTCTTGAGATCTCTTGAATCGTACGGTTGTACCTCTCAGCGGTACCATTTTGTTGAGGTGTTGCTGTGCATGACAATTGCTGTTCAACTCCAAGGTTGGCAAGAAAAGAGCGGAAAGAGTTAGACATGTACTCTCCTCCACGATCAGAACGAAAAATTTTGACCTTGAGACCCAACTGACGCTCAATATAAGGAAACCAGGACTGGATAACACCGGGAACTTCATCTTTAGATCCAAGAAGAGAGATCCAAGCAAATTTTGTATGATGGTCAATGAGTGACATTACATATCTTTTCCCAGTACGACTTGGTGTACGGGAAGGACCCATCAGGTCACTATGAATGAGCTCAAGCGGTTGAGAGACTTCAGACTCAGAAGAATAGAAAGGATGACGAGGAAGCTTAGCCTCAACACAAGTGTGGCACGATGACTGAGATGATGACAACTGCTTGGAGATGATAAGACCATCACCACTTGCATGTGCTTGCATGCGTGTGATGCTAGACTCTTCAGGGTGACCGTAACGACAATGCCAGGTGTAAGGAGATGCAGATGTACCAGGATGAAGTCTTACTGAGGTGGTGGTAGCAGCAATTGAGGGACTGCTGTAGGGCTTGGCAGGTGGCTGTGCATCAATCTCCACTCGATAGAGACGTCCATTACGAACACCTCTTGCAATGTGATGTCCAGTTGGAGCACGAACCTGCACAGAACCATCTGAGAAAGAGATGGAAATACATTTCTCTTCCATTTGACCAATTGAGAGAAGGTTCGCCCCTAGTGAGGGGACAAGTAAAATGCCTGAGAATGACATATGAATTCCCTCTGGACTGAGAAATGTCATTGTTCCCTCTGCTTGAACTGGCACCGAATGGTTGCTGGCAACAACCACTTCTTTCACATTGGAGGGCTTGAGGCTGTGAAGGAGGGAGGCATGAGGGGTCATATGTTGATCACATCCACTGTCCAAAAACCAAATCTTGGGATCCTGTGTAAATGCATGGAGACAAGAGGATGATGCAAATGCGAAACTCGGTGCATTCGATTGAGTAGAGTCTCTCTCATATGAAACGACTCCTATGGTGGCTTGAAGAGGCGCCTCTGGTGTGTGACGTTGTGGCATAGAGGAAGCAGAGACATGGTTTTGAGATGAGACTTGGGAAGCATTCTGAAATAATGCCCCATGATACGCACTGTCTGGTTGATTTTCTGGAGGGGTATGGGATGTAATAGCAATGGCGGCCCTTCCTTTGTCAGAAAGCAGAGATGAAGGTGGTGTCCAGTTCGCAGGACGTATGTTGCACTTGAACCAAGGATGTCACCATTTATGACAATAATGACACTCAAATTGATACCTTGACTTTGGCTTATAAGGAATATGATTAGAGTATGATGCAAGCTGAGAAATATGACTTGGTGTGGGTTGTCCAAGAAGAGAGTGTGTTGGGGTTTGAGAGGACTTACCTTGCTGAAACTTGCTCTGTTGTTGAACACTTTGTTGAGGGCGATAGTTGGAACTTGTCATTCCACTCCATGCTGGTCCAGGATTTCTCTGAAGCTTTGCAAGTTCTCTTGTCTGATGTTCGGTGATGAGCGTGTTGAAGATGAAATCTCGGGTCCTTGTCTCCTCAGGAAAGGCTTGAATGGTGCTTCTCATAGTGCTCCATCCAGATGAAAGTCCGGCTAGAAGAATGGTGATGAAGAGAGATTCCGGGACCTCAATGTCGAGAAGTGTAGCTTCGTAAAGGACCATTTCACCACGTTGTAAGTAGTCGGGGATGGACTCACTCTCCCCCATGCGGAGAGAGACAATCTTGTTCCACACTTCTGCCTTAGAACCTTGGGAAATAGGTTGATGAAGACGTTTGAGCCGCTCCCAAGCAGCTCTGGCACTGTCCTTTTGAGTTGATACGAGGAGGAGGGGTTGAGAGTAGGGGTCTTGAATGGAAGAGAGGAGATAGAGATAAGCTTCAGCATTTTTCTTGATCCAGTTGCTCTGTTCTTGATCAGGTGCAACAGTTGAAGGGGGGGTGTTTTGGCCGATGTAGATAGGCCAAAGATCAAGAAGAGTGGCGGCTTGTTGAAAGCGGATGCTCCATGATGAAAAACCTTTGCCGTTGAAGCGTGGAAGCTCCAATTTGGGGACTAAGGAGGAGGTAAATGTAGATGTAGTAGGTGGTGTAGATGGAGATGATGTGTTGGTTGTAGGAGGTGCTGATTCGTTTGAAGAGTTTGTGGTTACAGCTGGTGAAGTTGATCCCATAGGAACACTTGAGTCCTTTTCATCCATGTTGGTAAATTAAAACTCCTGATACAATCAAACAATTTCACACAAGGGGAAGGGGAAATAGACAAACACACACACACAGACACACACATACACAAATACACAAAAACAAAAAAGGGGAAACACAAAAAGGAGGACCCAAAAGGGGGCGCAAGACCAAGTGCAAGGATGCCACTAATGACAAATAACGGGCTTAAAAAAAAACTAGACAAGATGCGCACGGAAGAAACAGCAAAAGGAATGAACTCGGGCTCAGATACCATCTTGAGATTGAAGTTATAGACGAGGGAGGGTAAATGGTAAGGAGAAAGAAAGAAAACACCTAGAAATAAAAGGTAAGATCAAAGTAAAACCAAGTTGAAAAGCAAAAACAAGTTGAAAGGAAATCTTGAAGTATGGAGCAATTAAGAATGAAGAAAGTTTTGAAGGAGAAGATAGATAGACTTGATAGGGATAAAAGGGACCAAACAAGATTGGCTTAAAAGAAAGTATTGAAGAAAAGGTAAAGGGCTTGAAAGATACTTGAAAGGAACTTGTAACGAACTTGAGAATAAGAACTTGATTATTATGGAAAGAGCTTGAATATAAAACAACTTGATAATAGCAAATGAACTTTGATGTAAAAGAAACTTGGTGAAAAATGAGAGGAAGGGATAACCACTTACTTGAAAAGAGTTCTTACTATTATGTTGTAGAAGTTGATCTTCACTTCAAGCTTAAATGTTGTCTTAGTTGTTAATGAAGAACCTCAAAGCTTGAATGTTGAGAAGTTGATCTTGAATGTTGACTTGTAGATAATGTTTGTTGAATGAAGAGAAACCTCCAAGCTTGGATGTTGAGGTTGGAGCTTGGACCTTGGGTAGAAGAATACACCAATCTTGCTTGAAGCTTTAAAGTACATTAATCAAAGGGAGGTACATGGTAGGATCTTGAGATCAACTATCCTTGATGATCTAGAAGTAAAACTATGTGGCACAAACTTTTCTAGAATTGGAGCATATGGCTATGAGCTTGGGTTGGGAGAGGTTGGTGGTGATGATGAAGCCTTAGGAGTTGGAGCATAAGGAGGAGGACTTGAGGTTGGCCTTGAGGGAGTTTGAAGAACTTGTTGAGAGTTTGGGTATGAAGTAGCATTGAAGAATATTTTTTTGAAGAAATGAAGAGGACCCTTTTGTATTTGGTGGAGCTTGATGTTGGATGAAGGATGAGGAAAGGATGAATGGTTGTGATTAGTTGAGTTGGATAAGATGGGGGTGATGAATGTGGCCTTGAAGTGAAGGCTTGGTGAAGAGAATGAATGTGGCCTTGAAGTTAAGGCTTGGTGAATGGGATGTATTTGGCTTTGATTTTAAGGCTTGGTGAGTGGAATGAATGTGGCTTGGATTGGAAGGCTTGGTATGGAATCTTTTGTTTGATTGGTGGATAATGGGATGAGAAAGATGATGAGGATAGGAGGAGAGTTGAGGTGGAGGATTGATAGGTTTTGATTGGTAGGTTTTTGCTGTCTGGAGATAGGAAGGGTGTGGTGGCGAGTGGGCATTTTTGCAAGATGCCTTTTGCATATTCGGATTTTGGCTGACGGGGAAATTGCGGCGAAAAATTTCGCCACGTGAAATATTTCCCGCCACCCTGGTGCCACGCGAGCAGCAGCCACAGTTCACTGCAACATCTACTTCCTCCGCCTTCAACCGAATCGCAACCCACGCCTCACCGAACTTCCACCGCCCCATATATGTTCGTTCCTCTTTCCTCGTCAATTATTGAAGTTAGCAATTCAGTCGTCGTCATCGCTTGACCAGTCACGTTTCTACGAGCAAGGATCGGCAGGGATCGAGAGCAGCAAGTAGCAGCGAACGCAAGAATTCGCAAATCGAGAGCACGAATACGTCTAACCCAACACGGGCGTCTCACTCTAAAAATGGCCAACACAATTTCTGGTCTTCTTTCTTCTAACCCTCTCAAGCGCAAGACGTCCCACACGTCTTGCATCTGCCCCTCAAATGCTGCTGCTCTCCCTCCCTGCCTATCCTCCGACTCGACCTCCTTCACCGGCTTCTTCTCTTCCTCCTCCGCCGCCGTGGCCGCCGACGCTGGCGCTTCGTCTCAGAATGAGCACCCGAACCAGCCCTCCGCCAAGCGCTACCGCGGCGTGCGACAGCGCTCCTGGGGCAAGTGGGTCTGCGAGATTCGCGAGCCGCGCACGCGCGCGCGCGTGTGGCTGGGATCGTACAGTTCTGCGGAGGAGGCCGCGCGCGTCTACGACACCGCTGCACTCATGCTGCACGGAGCGCACGGCGCGGAGCGCCGGCTGAACTTCCCCCACGCGGCGGCGACCTCCATCGAGGGCGGAATCCGCATGCGCCCCGTCGTGGTCTCCCGCGCAACGGCGGAGTCCCTCCTCCGCGCGGCGCGCAACCTCGCCGCGTCCGCGACCGGCGCGGAGTCTGCGGCCGCGGAAGCGGACACGAAGTCGTTCAACAGCGAATGGGTACAGCTGGAAATCGCGGGCGGTAACGTCCTCTTTGCGGAGTGCCCCGCGCCCGGGCTCCTCCCATTCACCCCCATCGCTCCAGCTCCCGCCGTTGCGCCGTCGGTCCCCGCTGCCGCCCCCGCGCCTGCTGCCAATCCCTCATCTTCTCCTGTCCCCACTCTCTCGTCTTGCGACAACCTGCCCGTCGCATCGTTCACAAGTGCCGCCGACGTCGCAGACGTTGCGTGCTTCAGCAGTTACAACGACAGCAGCTCTATTCTGGAGCTTCCAGAGCTCCACTGGCCGGAAATCGAGAAGTCCGAGTCGACACTCTTCGAGGACGCCTGGAATCTGTCCGATGAGGAGCTTTTCGGCTCCGTTTCCGCTTCCGCCTCCGCCTCCGCTTCCGCTTCCCCCTCCCGCGACTCGGCCTTCGCCTGGGAGTCCGAGTCCGCCGCCGCGCTCGAGAGCCCCGTTCCGTTTTTCCCGGTCGAGGACGAGGGAATTCAGTTCGTGCCGTCTCCGCCGACGTTTCCGCCGGTGTTCCCTGCACCTGTCGACGCGCCCTTGTCGCCGTCTTCCTCTTACGGCAGCGTGTCGCGCTCCGCTTCCGTCGGCACGGCCTCCGCCGCCTCCGCGGGCTCCGCGGGGAACGCGCAGCAGCAGCAGCGCGCGGACGTGCTGGTGTCGCTGGTGCGCGAGTTGACGAGCATCACGGCGGTGCTGCAGCACCTGCAGAAGGAGCATCAGCTGCGGCTGATGCAGCAGCAGCAGGCGCAGGTGCAGCAGTGGAATCCAGAATGTGACTCGCGACAGCTGGCCAAACTCGGTCACCAGTTTCGTCTACTTTCGTCAGTCACTCCCTCCTTCGGCTCACACCTTCTCATCAAGACCCCCCAATCACCTTAAAAGTCCCTCTCCATTTCCTCGGAACCGTCCTACCCTCCTATCCTTTTCGGGACTCTACTTCTACACCTGCGATTTCATCTTTTCCTCCGTCTTACACTCTTCGGAAACTTCTCAGTCCTATCCTCAGCCTCCCCCTCTACCCTCCAATCGGCTGCCCTCGGGGAAGCCAGCCATCATGAAGGCCCTAAGCACCGTTTTTAATTAAGTGTGCCCCACAGGTCCTCATGATGATTGTCTTTCTTTCCGAAAGCCAACCTCCTGACGAGCTCGAGAGGAGTTGGTACCTTACCTTTCTCCTCGGACCGTCCTCAAGCCCTTGTCGAAAATGTCTCTCTCCTGAAAATGTCGAAGGTCCTAAATTCCTCAACCCGAACCTGCTCTTCTCCTAAATATTTCTGAGTTGCCCAGTACCCTGGAGTTCACGAGTCCTGCCTGTTTCTCCCCTCAGTGTTACCTTGCTAAATGCGTCTGCTGTACTTTGTTAAATACAGTGTGTATGTATCAAACTAATACACTATGATCTACATGACCTATAGCATGCCTATTGGCACAAATTGTGAATAACATTAGATATTGACTTGTATAGGCATATCAATTGGCATCCTAACCTGACACCGTCATCTTAGAACCAGCTCCAGCATGGTGTGTCCGTGCATGACCTCCAAGCATGGCCCCCAATGCATAGCTGTGAGGCACGGCCAGTCAGGCATGGGCTCAGGGACGAACCGTCGTCAGACACGGCTGTCAGACACGGGCTGTCAGGCACGGCGGTCAGGCACGGCGGTCAGGCACGGGCTGTCAGCTAGTGAGCACTGAACCCTCTGGATTCCCCAGGCACTCCTCAATCTCCTTCCAGTCTAAACTCGGCAGCGATGGGAACTCTGCCGGCAGGCTCGGCAGCGACGGGAACTCCCCTGGCAGGCTCGGCAGTCGAGGCAAGGAACCCGTTTGGTCCGGTGCCGTCTTGGAAAAGCTTGGCAGGTTCAGGAGCGGCTGAGAGGAGAAACTGGGCAGGTTTAGGGGAGCCTGGGGGGAGACGCTTGGGGGCTGCTGTAAGGGCCCCGCTTTAGCAGTAGGGGATGACGTGTCCATGCTGCTGCTATCCGCGTTACTAGATCTGCTGTTGACAATATCGCTGTCCTCCTGTCCCAGATCAGTGAGAAACGGAGCGAAAGAGGTGTAGCTCGTGAAATTGCTGTCTAGATTTTGAACTGCACAACTGCTGCTGGGAGCACTGGGGGGAGCAGCAAGAGTAGCGGCGGGTGGAGCAGAGTTGGGAGCAGCTGCGGTAGTAAGGGGAGGAAAGTCTATGGCGGGATTAGCAGTGGCCATTTGATCTGCAGTGGAAGCTGGGATATGATCAGCAGTGAGGGTATCGGTGGTGAGCTGTGCGGAAGGCGCGCAGAGGTGCGCGAAGGTGGGGTGCGCGAGCAGCGCGCGCGAAAGCTCCGCCCCGCCGGCGTAAGCGGCGGAAGCGACGGGAGCGGCGGAATCCGCGAACGCGGACATTACGGAAAAAGCTGAGGCGCTAATCGCACGTGGGGAGGAAGGGGCGGTGGTTGCGGGGAACGCCCGGGAGCCGCCAAACGACGGGCCTGGGGGGAACCGCGGGGAGTGCAGCGGCGAGCGGGAGGGGGAGCGGACGCGCGCGGGGCTGTACCCCATACCGCTCATAGGGCTTCCGGGGAGAGACAGGGCGGAGGAACGGCGGGAGGGGACGATTATGGGGGGACCGGCGGAAAAGGTGGGAGGCGCGTCGGAGAAGAGCGACAGGGCAGCGGAGAAGGAATCTGCAGGCGCCGCGACGCGGCTGCTGACGAAATCCATCTCGGGCGCAACTTGCGACGCGGCTGCTGACGTAACGCCAGACGCGCAAGCGGCGGCGTTTGAATCGGCGGCGGTGACGGCATTCCGAGCGGCGACGCCGCGTTTCGGCGAGATCTGGCCGTTCGCCGTCGGGGATTTGACGGACGACGCGTCTGGAAAGACGCCGCCGCGACCGGCGGCGGGAATCGCGGTGGTGGTGATACCCGGGCTCGCGCAATCGGAGAAGACGACGTTGGAGCCGGTAACCTCGAGGCGCACCCACTCGCCGGTAAAGGTGGGGCTAGCGTGAACCGTGGGGACAGATGCGGTAGCACCAGTGGAGCGGCGGGCACTGCCCGTCGCAGCAGAGGTGGAGGCATCGACAATCATGTCACAAGCGCAAGATGGATTACTCGAATCTTCTTGTTGGGATGGCGACTGCTGCGACTGCTGCGAAAGAGTCAGAGCATTGACGACGCGGAGCAGACCTTCCGCTATAGTGCGCGACACTATAACGGGGCGGATCCCCCCGTCCGCTTGAAGAGCGTCCGGGAAGTTGAGTCTGCGCTCCGCGCCGCTCGCGCCGTGCAGCATGAGCGCGGCGGTGTCGTAGACGCGCGCGGCCTCCTCCGCGGTGCTGTACGATCCTAGCCACACGCGCGCGCGCGTGCGCGGCTCGCGGATCTCGCACACCCACTTGCCCCACGACCGCTGACGCACGCCGCGAAGGCGCTTGGTCGTTGGAGAGTCCAAGTCATAGCGGTTCGGGATTTCCGCGAATTTGCGTTTTAGGTCAAGGTCGTGCGCTGCATTTGAATCCAGAGACATCGTAACGCACTGGCATGAGGCCAATAAGCGGATTCAACAGGCTACGAAATAACTAGAAAGTGACTCACTATTTCGCAAAAACCCTTGTGAGGAGGTGGTCTCTAAATATTTTTCAAGGGCGACTCGTGCAGCTTTTTGCCGAGCCTCACGTTGCCCAGCCTTGGGGCAAAGGAGCCCCTTTTGGCTGGTGCATGGCGGATGGCGGGCGATTTGCTTGGGGGAAGTTCGGCACATCGTACCAGTGTTGTTGGCTTGGTTTGAGCCGCAGTTCTCGAAAAATCAGGTGGCAGGACCAGAGCCCAACCTGACCAGACCAGGCAACTACTGTACGAGTACATGCACAGTAACCCTTCACTAGGAGCAAGGCTCTCATAAGTCTCAGCTGCACTGCATACACTGTTTCAATGTCTTCAACTAGCAATTGGATGCACAAAATAGACCCACAACTACAAAAAGCAGCAGTCATGCTGTCGATCCTGTTCTGTAGCATCATGCTGGGCAAAAGGGACGTATTTTCATGTCTTGGCCATGAATTAACTTGACAAATGCTGTTGGACCTTCAATGATGGCTACCAAAACTCCTCCTAGACCAATCAAGATGGCCAGAATGAAGATAACAATGGATGAACGACCTGCACATACGGTAAAAAGTGGCAGTAACCAAGTTAAGCTACATTGCTAGTTGCAGATACAAGGTTACACGTGCAACCAAAACACATACCTGTGTTTCTCACGATTTTCCCAACAACGAAGACTCCAACCAGCGACCCAAGGAATGCCACAGGAGCAAACACAGCTGCATAGCTAGTGTTCAGAAAACCATGGAAGAAGAACGAGATGCTGATGGCACTGCTGCTGAAAAGGATCATGAAAACACTTGTCGAGGCAAAGATCTGCGATGCCAACAGAGAGAATTTCATTCAGCTTCTTACCCATGTAAATCAAATTGATGATCCCTAACATTGTCAACACCTGTGGGTGAAGGCCGAGACTAAGGAGATATGGGTTGAAAATAAGTGCTCCTCCGATGCCCACCATCCCAGCCATGCAATGATCACAGAGATCTGGAAAGATAGTTCCAAGGAGAGTCAGGGACGCACAAGCTGGAAACATATGCACACCTAAGCAAGAAGTTTGCGTACCTTCAAAAAGCGGGAAATGCTAGAGCCTGATGAGAAAAGCCGAGCAAGGTTTGGGCTCAGAGACGTAGGCCTGCATGTTGCAGGGTGCATGCGCAGCTGCATGAAATAAAGCAACCATGGCACAAGGGAATGGCCAGAAGTCACAAAGTGGAGATGTGAAGAGAATAACAGCACTCTATGCCAAAAGGTCCTGCATTGCTCTACCTGACCTTGAATGGTGCTAACTGCAGCAGCGATGCAGACAAACAGCTGCAACCCCCACAGCTGGAAAAAGGACGAGGAACAGCGGCTAGCTTGACTAAGACCCCACTGAAGAGCCATGAAAAGAGACCAAAGAACTGCAGGAAAAGAACAGGAAATAGATATGACATAGAGGTTCTCACAAATCTCAAAAGAAGCTGAAAAAACCAGTGGAACATACCGAGGGTGTAGAGAAATGGCATTGCCACGTGGTGGATGTGCGAGAGAAGCTGATTTCCTGATTCATTCAGATAATGCTGCATCCACTTCCAGTGGCGGTTGAAGAACTGCGAAATCTCACATCCAGCCACTGACAGGAAATCCACTCCCTCACATGTTTCGGGAACGTCAAACGTAACTTGCTGCTGGCCCGATTCGTCTGGGTTGACGAATGAGACAGGCAGGAGTCCTTCGGCAGCAGCAGTATGTGCAACCCTCTGCAAGTGCAATGATCAGATGCTCTTCAAGGTACGAATAGTTCAGAGCAAGCATGATAGCTCAACGTACTACAGATACCCACCCTTCTTTCTGACTCTTTCTTCCATGACCTTCGTGCTCGTGCATACGTCTTATGTACAACGAAAATGAGCAAAATCAGTAACCCGAGTAGCTGAATCCAGTGAGGAAGAGTCGGGCTGATTAGAACTCCAATTCCAACTCCAAATAGGAGAGACGGGAGCAATGCCAGTGCAAGTCTCAAGTCAACCAGTGGCATGGACGGAACTTCAGGTCTCGACTCCCATAGTCCATAGAGAGTGCTAGCAATTGCACTGAACGCAACAGAGAAAAGGGTTCAGAATAGCTATCAATGGAAAAGAACGAGCTTGGAAAAGAAAACAGGTAATGAATCCTGACCTTGATGTCACGACGGTAGGGGAAAGGGCGGTGGATTTGACAAGATTGAATTTGAGAACCGAGTGGAACAGCGGCATGTAGAAAGGCCCTCCTCCCACGCCAGCCGAATTAGCAAGCGATGCGCACTGCGCAATCCCACAACGCCGGTGATCGTCGGAATGTCAGACATGGCGAGACATTTTGATGTGAACTGAACCATGGCGGAACAAACTAGCGTTCTGCCGCGACAGGACGTTGTTTACTCACCAAAGCTACCAGGATTACGGACGCGTAGGTCCGGAAATTCCACTCGAACTGCTCAGGTTCGGAATAACCGACGAGAAGTCGGTAGTTGTGGTGGACGTCACCTAGGCGCATAGCATCCCATCTGGTGAAAGGGAGGGAGCAGGGGATCGCGGTTGGCCTTTGAGTCGACTCAAAAGTCACCTAGGCGCATAGCATCCCATCTGGTGAAAGGGAGGGAGCAGGGGATCGCGGTTGGGATTGAGATCAGATGAAACTGGGGGAAGGTGGCTTTTGAGACGAGACGACTCGACTCGACAGTCAAAACTGATGAGCCGGATGAAAAAAGGATTCTTATGAAGAACAATGCACCCACCTTGCTCACGCTGCGTTTTCAGAACGGTTTTGAACTGGTAGAAGGAAGGTGGAACTGGGACTGGAGCGCGGTGCAGCGTGGGCTCATGCAGCAATGGACTGATAAGGCATGAGACTAGGGTAAGAGTTGAGAGCAGAGCACCTGAGCCATGATGACAGCGACACAGGTAGCGCGTAGCAGAGTGGACTTGCCGCCCATGTTGGGCCCTGTCAGCAGCATCGTGCGCGCATGCACCCCTTCTGCTGCTGCTGCTGCTGTTATTCCTGATACGGAGCTGCCTGGCACGCCCCCTAGAAGCACGTCGTTGGGAACCACCACACCACCACTGGCGCCCACAGCAAACGGGTGCCACAACCCCCTCGCATGAAACGTGCTGCCTCCCCCTGACCCGCTTCCCTTCCCTACCCTTCCCCCTCCTCCCACTCCTCCCACTCCTCCCACGCCTTCCGCTCCTCCCCCTCCAGCCACAAATGTGGGGCGACACATGGGCCCCGCACTACCACCACCAGCACCCCCACCAGCAGCAGCGGCGGTCTGTGCGGCATCAGCAAAGGCGAGGAGGACATCAAAGCGGGCGAGGGAGTCGGAGAGGAGCGAGCAGAAGGGGAGGAGCGAGGAGAGCCGCGCCACAAGAGCAGAAAGCAGGCGCGCCTCTGCTGCCACTGCCTCACTCAGATGGCTGCTACCGGTGCCGCTACTGCTGTTTTTGCTCTGGTTCCTGCTGTTCCCAGTCCCAGCCCTCTTTACATTGGTCACCAGATTCACCACACTGTCATCAGGGGAGACCAAACGGGGAGAGCTGCTGCTGCTGTTGCTGTTGTTGCTGCTGCCACCACCGCCGCCGCCTCTCGACCCGCCGCTGCCTCTGCCCTTCCCGGCTGCACCGACCTTCCCCTGGGTGGCAGTCGGCCACACGATGAACTGCTCTATCTCATCCAATACTGCCAACGCACGCCGCCCGCTCATCTCCTCCGTAACGTTCGTCCTTGCCGTCGCATGAGAGGGATGCACCGTGTTAGACCGGCCCCTCTCGTCTCCCCAACCATGTTTGCTGTAACCGTTACTCACATGGCGGTTCCTCACCCCTGCCCCTTCTCCTCCTCCTTCTCCCTCATCCTCCTCCTCCTCCTCCGCCTCGTCTTCCTCTTCCCAACCACCCTCTCCGCCGCCAGCAGAGGCAGCAGCAGGAGCCAATCGCATGATGCCACGTAGGATGGCAGAACGGAAGGTGACAGGCTCCCCTGTGAGAGATCCGTTGCGGAGGGAATCGAGGAAGAGCAGGGCTGCACGCACCCCTCGCACTGCAGAGCAGAATAGGGCGACCTGCGAGAGGAAGGGATACAAAAGAGACGGTTGCGAGATGTTATATGTTGAGACGCTTTTGAGATCCGTTGCGGAGGGAATCGAGGAAGAGCAGAGCTGCATGCACCCCTTGCACTGCAGTGCAGAATTGGGTGACCTGGGAGAGGAAGAGAAAACGTTGGGAGGGGATGAAACTCGAACCGTCACAAGTCGATGGACGAGCAAAGCTGGGTGGGTGTGATAGTGAGTGCTTTCACCGCTTTCTCAGAAGCTGCTCTGCCATTGGTCCAGGCAGCGCCTCTAGAGCAGACCTTAATCCCCGTACGCCATCTTCCCAAACCCCACCACAGGAAGGGCAGGGTGGACTTTGCACATGCCAACACTCCCATGAGTGTACCTCCTCACCTGCTTCCTCAGAAGCTGCTCTGCCATTGGTCCAGGCAGCGCCTCTAGAGCAGACCTTAATCCCCGTACGCCATCTTCCCAAACCCCACCACAGGAAGGGCAGGGTGGACTTTGCACATGCCAACACTCCCATGAGTGTACCTCCTCACCTGCTTCCTCAGTAGCTGCTCTGCCATTGGTCCAGGTAGCGCCTCTAAAGCAGACCTTAACCCCCCCCACTCCACCTCCCCTCCCCCCACCCCTCCTCGCCCATCCTCCCCTCCTCTGCCTTCTCGGCCTCCTCTGACGCTTCTCCAATTCCCTTCCTCTCCCCTACCTCCAACTTCTCCCACACCCCCTGCTCCTCCCCCTCCCTTAGCCTGCGCCCCCATCGCTCTCACTCGACCAATCAGGCGCTCCAGATCCGGCAGCCGCCTCATCGCTGCCCGGATTTCTCCCCTCGCATGAGCTGCTGACGTGGCAGATGAGAGCGCTGACGTGGCGAGGGACGAGCCTGCCAGCTCATCGACGGCGTCCAGTCGACGCTCGATCTCGCTGATGGAGCGCAGTGGGTGGCAGATCCAACGGCGGAGAAGCCGCTTGCCTGCTGACGTGGCACACGTATCCAGAAAGCCCAGAAGAGTGCCTGTGCGTTCGGGAATGGTGAAGAGGGCGAGTGAGGGAGGGCAGGCGGGCAGGAGGGGAGGAGAGCAGGAGAGGAGGGGAGGAAGGGAGGAGGGGAGGAGGGGAGGAAGGGAGGAGGGGATGAGGGGGGGTAGAGGAGGGTGAGTGAGAATACTAAATTGTCAAAGGTATCAAGAGGAGACGCAAAGTGGTTGCTTGGAGACGATTCAAAGGTTGAAAGGGTGTTGAGCCCACCCTGTGTGCTGCCGTTGTGCGTGTTGCCGAGCAGCTCCAGGTTGCTGAGAGTCTGGCCGTCTTGTCAAGCAATATTAGACCTCACACTGTGTGCTGCCGTTCAGAAGTCGCCTTGATGCCTTGAACGTGTATTAGCTCACCCTGTATGCTGCCGTTGTGTGTGTTGCCGAGCAGCTCCAGGTTGCTGAGCGTCTGACCGTCCAGACGCAGCGAAGCCGAGAAGACGGAGTAGGGGCGCAGGGCGAGTGAGGCGAGCACTGACGGGCTCCACTGGTGGGGGCGGGTTGGGTGGGGGAGGTGAGGGTAGCAGGAGGGAAAAGAGGGGAAGGAGGGTAAGGGGCGCAGGGCGAGTGAGGCGAGCACTGACGGGCTCCACTGGTGGGGGAGGGGGATGTGGCAGGAGGGAAGAGAGGGGAAAAGGGAGTAAGGGGCGCAGAGCGAGTGAGGCGAGCACTGACGGGCTCCACTGGTGGGGGAGTAGGGGGTTGAAGGGGGGTGCGGGGGGGGAAGGGAGAGCAAAGAGGGTAAGGGTCACACAGCGAGCGAGGGGGACGCTGTAGGACTCCAATGGTGTTGCACACAGAGATCGATTGGTTTTTGAGGCGCCTCCTCAAAGATTGGTTTTTGAGGCGCCTCAATGATTGGTTTTTTAGGCGCCTCAAAAAGCGAGGGGGACACTGTAGGACTCCAATGGTGTTGCACACAGAGATGGATTGGGGAGACGGGAAGGGGGAGGAGGGGAACCGGTGGGGAGAAGTGGCGAAGGGGTGTTTGCAGGATGAAAAGGAAGAGCGAAGGGGTAAGTTGCGCAGGGGGAGAGGGGGGCGCAGCAGCGGGAGAGAGGGGGGCGCTGCAGCGGGAGAGAGGGGGGCGCTGCAGCGGGAGAGAGGGGGGCGCTGCAGCGGGAGAGAGAGGGGCGCTGCAGCGGGAGAGAGAGGGGCGCTGCAGCGGGAGAGAGAGGGGGGCGCTGCAGCGGGAGAGAGAGGGGCGCTGCAGCGGGAGAGAGAGGGGCGCTGCAGCGGGAGAGAGAGGGGCGCTGCAGCGGGAGAGAGAGGGGCGCTGCAGCGGGAGAGAGAGGGGGGCGCTGCAGCGGGAGAGAGAGGGGCGCTGCAGTGGGAGAGAGAGGGGGGCGCTGCAGCGGGAGAGAGAGGGGCGCTGCAGCGGGAGAGAGAGGGGCGCTGCAGCGGGAGAGAGAGGGGCGCTGCAGCGGGAGAGAGAGGGGCGCTGCAGCGGGAGAGAGAGGGGGGCGCTGCAGCGGGAGAGAGAGGGAGGCGCTGCAGCGGGAGAGAGGGGGTGCTGCAGTTGCGCAGGGGGGGAGAGGGGGGCGCTGCAGGGATCCACTGACACATGCACACGTTGGTTGGTGGTCGAGGGGCGGAGGGGGAGGGGGAAATGGAGGGAGTCGGGGGAGCGGACGGGTTTTGAGTCGGAAAGCGGGGAACGAGGGGGAGTTGGAGAGGAAGGGAGGAGAAGGGGGGGACGGGAGAAAAGGAGGAAACTTGGAGAGAAAAGGAGAGAAAGGCGAGGATTTCCCACCTTCAATCGCTCCAGATGGCTGCCTAGCGCCACAAGCGCTGCTGCTGCTACCTCCGCCTCCTCCTCTCCCCCTCCCACCAGCAACCGCACTAGAGAATCCGCCCCCCTCTCGTGGCATGGCTCTCTCTGTGGGGACTCTTGCACAGTTCCGAAACCAGATGATTTTAGCCGAGCCACCGCTGCTTTAGGCTCGGGAAACTCCGAACCTGGCGCCAGGGCTGTCAGCTGCATCGGGAGGATTCCTGGGCCTGAGCTCCTTCGCAGAAGCTTCCTCGTGTCGGTGGAGAGACCTGGATCAGAGGATTTTACACGAGAAGTATATTTCTTTAAAACCTTCAGAGGAAAACGCACCTAGAATCTCAGGACATTAGAGTTGAACGAGAAAGGTAGCTTATGAAGTAATGAAAGGGCCCTGATATGATTACAGAAAAGCAATAACATGAAGGTTAAAAAGCAGCACTAAACAAAGTCCAAGCACACATACCGTCCAGTTCAAACAGCAGCTCTTGAGGGGCCACCTGATGTCAGGCAAAGGGGAGCCGGGCAGGAAAAGAAGAGAAAGAAAACCAAGTGTCCTATTGAAAGGTTCGTGGGCCCATCACATCCACTGCACCTGGACACAGACGGCTAGTCACACACACAGCAAGTGGGGAGGCTTATCACATGCACTGCACCTGGACACATACATGATTGTCCCATCACATGCACCTGGACGAGGAGCGCTGAGAGGGCGGAGCGGGAGGAGTCATCCCGCATGGCACCCACGTAGACATTCCCGCCTGCCACGTCAGCAAACGCAAAGCCAACGAGGATAGACCCAGAAGCAACACTGGTCGGAGTGCCGTTAGGCGTCCCGTTAGGGCTGCTGCTGCTGCTGATGATGTTGTCAATGCTGGCGGCGCTGTTGCTGGACGCAGGTTCTGTGGTGACCTGAAAAGAGACGACGACACGCAAAGAGAGAGGGGGGGGGGGGGGGGGGGGGGGGGGAGGGGTGGGGGGGGGGGGGTTCAGGCAACTCAAAGTTCCTCCCTGATGGATGGTTCGGGGTGCTCTCTGCTATTGGTCACGACTCACGACAAAAGAAAATCATCTCGAAAGTTGACACGCCTAAAAGTGCTTGAAATGCATTCACAAGGGCTGCAAAGGTGCATCATCGTTGGTGGATGGATTAGGCTGACAAAATCTTTGGCCATCGCAAAGACCTGTGAAAAAAACACACGCAGACAAGTGCTCACCTACTTTCAAATGGTACAGCAATGGACAGTAATGGACCACAGAAATCCATTGCGTGACCTCTTGTTATTGCCAGGAAACACAGCGGCTCACCTCCTTAATTGCCAGGAGGTGCACGGCCTCTGGTCTGAGCGACCCCTCTGTGAGGGTGGATTGGCAGAATGCTTTTAACCTGAAATGCACACAGGGCGCAGAGCGGCTCACCTCTTTAATTGCCAGGAGGTGCACGGCCTCTGGTCTGAGTGACCCCTCTGTGAGGGTGGCTGGGGAGAGAATTTGCATAAGTTGCCGCTGCACCATCTGCAATGTGATGGTGAAAGAGATAGACATGAGGCTGTTAAAACGAGATAGACACGAGGCTGTTAACACGAAACAATGAATAACAAACAAACCTCTGTTAGATTTGTCAAAAGTGGCTGTTACATCGTGACAACAAAGCACATGTTGCCAGCCTCACCCTTCCCATCGCATGCAGTGTCAATGCATGCCGTGGCAGTGGGAAGAGATCTGGTGCGGGCATATGTAACCTATCTTGCCAGATAAGCCACACGCTTGTACTAATACAGCCACATCAGAAAATGGATTCAGGCACGTCTGTCAGTCAATGCATACAGTCACATCCATAACCAAGTACTTTCACATCCGCGAATGCATACAGTCACATCCATAACCAAGTACTTTCACATCCGCGAATGCACACAGTCACATACCGCCCCTGGCCCTCTCTTTGCCTTGGCCTCCTCGCTGCTCTCCAGCTGCTCCATGCGCCCCACCTTGTAGCTGCGGGCGAGAGGGAAGAGAGATGGGCGGAGCAGAGACGGGCGGAGCAGAGACGGGCGGAGCAGAGACGGGCGGAGCAGAGATGGGCGGAGCAGAGATGGGCGGAGCAGAGATGGGCGGAGCAGAGACGGGCGGAGCAGAGACGGGCGGAGCAGAGATGGGCGGAGCAGAGATGGGCGGAGCAGAGATGGGCGGAGCAGAGATGGGCGGAGCAGAGTTATGAGTGGATAACGGGAAGGGAGTGAGTAGACATGGAATGGGAGGTGAATGTGAGTCCAGGTGGCCGAGGAATGGCCACCTGGAAGAATGACATTCTTGCTTGCTGCTGTTTAGTGGCGCCTCAAAACTCGCTCTCAATATTGAGGCGCCTCTCAAAAGTGGCCGCGGGATTGGCGTTTGCAAGACTGACATTCTTGCTTGCTGCTGTGCGTTGCACTTGGCACCCAGCGCAATGGCGTATGTATGGATGAGTGCATGTGAGTAAGAGTGGGGGAAAGGGGGGCTTACACACTAGGGGAGGGGAGAGAGGAAGAAGGGAGACTCACCCTCTGGCTACTAGCTTCTGAACTGCGTCCTCTATGCCACTCTCAGGCACTCCCACCTGCACGGGGGGGAAAAGGGGGGTGGGTAGAGTGAAGACAGGGGGAGAGGAACGTACGAGAGAGAGGAAAGGGGAGAGAGAGAGATGAGAGGTGAAAGGAAGCTTCTCAGAATGTGGCAACGACCTGCCTCTACAATCCACAAGCCATGTGCAAACACGAGGCGGAAAAAGAAAACGAGGTGTGGTGATGAGCGGCAGGAAGCACGTAATAGCCATCTGAACGATCACCTGAAGCTGAAGAACCCTCACCTGGCGGCACTTGCCGACGCCGCTGACAGTGAGCTTCCAGTCGAGCTCCTTGTGGCCCACCTCAGCGTCCACCTCGTACAGCTCGTAGAACTTGCCCTGTGAGATCATGACACGTGGCAAGGGAACATATGATTTTCAGAACTATCCACATCAAGACCAAAACTGCTAAAACAGAGAACAACAACAATACACTGACGGTGACACCGAGGAACGTGAGTGGAACGGACCTCTTGAATAGAAAAGAGAAACAACTTTCAGACCTCACAACCCGCAAATGGTAAGGAGGAACAACGTACCACTTTGAAGAAGAGAATCGTGTCCATGTAGCGACTTTTTGTGCCCCAGTACTGCTTCTGCGACGCTGACAGCTTGTCGAAGATCGCACGCGGGACGGTTACACTTCGCGAATCGTACCCTGGCTCGCCAGGCCTCCTCCCCTTCCCGTCCCGAATATTTTCGGGCAGAAGCCACTCAAATTTTGACCGGGCCTCGGCCCACATGCTAGCATTTTTATCCTGCCCGCCGTCCAGATCGTCTGCTCCCAACGCCCGAAGAAACTCCGCGCGCCTGGAGTTATCAGGTTGTGACACACCAGATTGTGACAAAAACGAAGGTTTCGCAACCCGCTGAGATGCTCCGTTGGCAGGTCGCTCAGGCTGACTCGCGGAGGCGAACTTTTTACCCTGAAACGAGTTAATCCCCTCGCTGTAGTCACCCTCATTGTCGTCAACATCTGCGTCGTCCCTCGTTCTCTTGCCTCTCGGGACGCATGGCTTGATCCCAGGAGTCACGGGAGTGAAATGAGGTCGTGGACTAAAATTACCTCGACCATTTCCAGCTCTCGCCGCTGCTGAGGGAGTTCCGAAAGTGTTTGTTCCGTTACCGGTGATACCGTCGTTACAAATATCACCGCTATTACCGGTGTTACAGGTGTTACCAATCGCTGTACCAGGTACGCCAAGCTCCTTCCTGCGCGGATCAGAAGCATATCCCGTTATGCGCTGACTCTGGGGAGGCCTATTTAGGGACGGTTGATCAGCCGTCACTCGCCATTTCGGCTCCGTCCCCTCGTTCGCGCCGCTGAATGCGTACGGGTTGCGTGGAGCCTTGAACGGACTGTATTCGGACACCGATTTAGCGGGAACATTAGTCGACCCCCAAGGACCTTGGCTGCTCGCTGGAGAGTTTTGAGTTGCAACGAGCGGCTGTGATGACAGAGTGTTAGACGCGTTTTCTTTCTTGGAGTAGAATCTCCACAGGGAGCGCTGAGCCATGGTACCGGCGAGTAAACGGCGATCCTGGACTCCGTACTACAAAACAAGCAAGACTACCAGCTCTCAGTACCTATTTTTCTCCCCGCGAAACGTACAAATACATAAAACTAACCATTCAGAGTTGGTGCACTTGTAAGCTAAGCTCCCACGTTTAGCACGACGCTGTTGAACCCGCTCAGTTGAGCAGGTGAAGGGGAGGCTAAAGTTCAAAGCGAGGCGTCATGAGGACGACACTAGAAGGGCTGGAATCGTAGGGAAGAAAAGGTGACAGCGTGAGAGTTCAAATGAACTACGCTTCCCCCGAGTGAATCAACTGGCTTGGGTTGTCTGCGCAAACGGCTATCAAGGCAAAAAGAAACGATGGTTGTCGAAAGTTTCAGCTGCGAGAAGAATCGTGCGGAACTCTCAAGGCTGGTTCAAGCGAAGCGAATGGATGACTGGTTGAAAGGCTGTGTCGGGCAGATGGAAGCTTTTGAGAAAATAATTATTCTGGCACGGACTGGTCTGTTTGAGGCTTGGGCAACCCGCGGGGCATCCTTCAGAAACCCTGGGCTCTTGAATTTTGAATATTCAAAATATGGGAGGGATGAAAATTTTGAATTGCGATAAAGCGATCTGTTGAGTAAAGCATACATGAACCGATACAGCACAGAAGTTGTCCTCGCGCGAACGTATATGTGGTAACGCGGTTGGCTAAATCGCGTGTGGATTGATGGATATGTGTGTTGGTGTTGTGATGTGATGGGCATTGGGCACCAACCACCTACCGAATACTAGTCGGCTTTTGCAGTGCCGTGGTGTGCACGCGATTGGTCTAGGTCATGGACTAGACTAGAACCTGGGCGTATTCTAGCATTAACTTAACGGGCAGGCTGCTGCATTTCATTCTGAGGCAGCCGAGATGGCATTCGTGTGCACTGTGCTGCGAGACACAGTATTTGTCTCCTCCTGAAGTACAGAATCCGCGACATTTTCTTCCTTTGGACGGCAAACATTGGCATGGTATGAAAACAAGCACCATACACGAGCCATCGCGCTATACACTAGGCTGACGTCAGGACCATCCGCGACCACACATTCATTAATCGACCACCCATTCAGGAATTCACGCAATGAGGTCGTCGTCGGGCCGCACGAATGCGGGAGCAGCCGGGATGGGCTTCACGTCGCCGCTCGACGCAGACGCCGCCGAGGCGCGTCGGCTCCAACGTGCCGCGCTGTTGCAAGCGCGCGGCGGGCCCAACTCCATGGAGAAGCGATTCCTGCGCTTTATATCGGGTACTTGGCATCCCCGCATTCCCTGCATTTAACATCCCTAGATTAAATCGAGTACCAGACATCCCTGCACGCCATATTCCCCGCACGTTACTTCTGCCATACAGGCTTCCCTGCATCTAATCCCAGTCTTTTGACTCACCCCACCTCTAGCAGCACTTGTCAGAATTCTCAACGAAACCCAACCCCCCATACCCCCCTCCCCCCCTCCCCCTCTCCCCCCTCCCCCCTTCTCCTCCTCAACTCCCCTCCTTTCCCTTTTCTTTACCCCATCTGGACGCCAGCCGGAACCTTCCTGGATTCTGCCACCCTGAGCTCCGTCGCGCCCATCCTCCCGGGCTACGCGCGCCGCTTCGGCCTGACGCAGCACGCCGTCACGCTGCTCCTCGCGGCGCGCAACGTCACGTCCGTGCTCGCGTCGCTTCCCATAGGCGTGCTCCTCCTCTTAATCTCCGTCCCCACCATCTTCGCCGCGACCTTCTCCCTCTCCACCCTAGCCTCTCTCTCCCTCGCGTTTCCCCTCGCCGGGGCAGGCTCGCTTGCTGCTGCCCTGGTTCTCCAAGGCGTCGCCACCCAATCCGTGCGCAGCGTCGGGCTTTTTTTCGCTGCCCGGGTTTGCGGGTCAGGCGCGTCATTGGACGAGGTGGTGGATCAGCTCGCGCAGAAGGGCAGCGAGGGGCTGCACAAACTTTTGGGCTCGGGCAGGCTGTGGACTGCCCGGGGCAGAACGTCGTTAAGTTATGGTTTGGTGGGGGATGGGAGGAGAGGGACAAGTAGCCTTAGCGGTATCAGCAACACTCCTTACGAAAGGCTTACCCCTTCCCAGCAGCAGCAGCAGGAGCAGCAGGAGCAGGAGGAGGAGGAGGAAGAGCAGCAGCAGCAGGAAATAGAGGGGCAGGGATGGAGGGAGTTTTCAGGAGGGAGAGAAGCTGCATGGAGCGAAAGAGAGACACAGGTTAGAGGGAGAGGGAGAGGGAGAGGTAGAGGAGGAGGGAGACGTGGAGGAAGAGGAGGGAGAGGGGAGCGAAGGGCACGAGTCGGGGGCGTTGGTGCTCCAGGCTCGGCCGGAGCAGGAGCAGGAGGAGGTTCGGCATCCGAAGGTCTGTTTGTGGTTCGGAGCGGTGACCAGGTATTCAGATCGGCAGCAGCAGACTACTCCCTCACAGGCACCCACTTCCCCACCGCCTTTGCAGACGGCATGGACGGCACCCCCTCCGGAGCCTCCTCCGCAGCTTCCTCCGCAGCTTCCTCTGCGGAATCCTCTCTGCTGATCGGCGTGATTGGCTCGTTGCTGGGTTGGGCGTCACTGGGAACGCTCATCGGGCCGCTGTTTGGCTCGTTTGCTTACCAGTACCTGTCGCCGTGGATCGCGTATCTCGTTGCGGCTGTGGCAGCGGCGGCGCTCGCATTCCTCTCCTTCCTGCTCTCGCCTGAAGCACACTCCCTCGACCGCCTCGAGTTCCAGCTCAGCTGGCGCAAGAAAAAACAGCAGAAGCAGCAGCAGCAGCAGCAGGAGCAGGAGGAGGAAGAGATGGAGGAGCAGGAGGAACCGCAGCTGCAGCAGCAGCAGGGTAACCCGGGGTCCTACGCACTCACAAATACCTCCTCTAACCCCCCCGGTGCTGACTCCTTGCACTCTTCTTCACCCGGGCCTGTGTCACTAGGCCTCGCTTCTGCCTCTACAGCAGAACCCGGCCCTGACTCTATCGTCAGTCCAGGTTTCCAGGCGGGCAGCGGGCAGGTGATGGTAAATTTCGAGGCGCTAGGGGTAGAGCCGCCTCCGGAACCTTCCGACCTGCCCGACTCATTCTTTTCGTCGTTTGCGTCTCGTCAGGATGACCCTTCAGGTGCCCCTTCAGGGGGGGCAGAGTATAATGATGGAGACTTTGTGCTGACACGGAGATTCGAACCCATGACCTCTGCCTCGAACCCAGCAACTGCTGCTGTTCCTGCAGCTGCCTCTGCTCCTGCTGACGGCTCCGAACACACTCCACAACCCGTCAACTCTTCCTCTTTTTCTGCACAGCCACACCACTCCTCTCCTTCCTCACAAACCGTCAACTCCTCTCCTGCTCCACAGCCCCGCATGCCTACCCCTCAGGCGCCCCTGCCCACTAGTTCCGTCCCCCTCATCCCCCCTCCCAACCCCACACCTGACAGTGCGATGGTGACTGCTTCTGCCCCTGTTGCCCCTGCTCTTGTTCCATCTGCCCGTGCCGCTGCCTCTGGCGGATCTTCCACTGCCGTTACCTCTGAACCTGAACCTGCAGCTGCCTCTGGTGCTGGAGGCCTGGGAGCTGCTGCTGTTATGGGTTCAGGCGCTTCTGTCGAAGGTGGTGCTGCTAGCACAGAGGCAGAAGGGGGTGCGGAGTGGCACGAGGTGCCTCTGTCAGGAGACTCCACCCACGCTGCTGCTTCTGCCATGAGCCATGTCCCACTCTCACATGATGAGCACGAGCACGCCATGAGCCATGGCCTACATTCCCATAGCCTGCATGCCATGAGCCATGTGCCGCATTCACATGATGAGCGCCCCATGAGCCATGAATCATCAACAGCAGTTGAAGGAGGCGCTGAAAGGGGGCTGGCAGGAGCCAACCAGGTGACAGCAGCACCACTGGCAGGAGTATCAGCAGCAACAGAGGCAACACGAGAGGCAGCGCCAGCGGCAGCAGCAGGGGCGGGGATGGGTGCGCGAGACACAGCAGCTGGTGCAGCAGCAGAGCCAGCTGACATGATCGACCAGGCTTTCCATCTTGGCAGAGGCAGCAGTAGCTCGATCACCAATGCCGCTTCTGCTCCCTCCATTCCCTCTTCCACTCCCACCACCAGCACCGCCACCAGCACTGCCACCAGCACCACCACGGCAACAAGCAATCTCCCTCGGGGTGCCCCTACCATCCCTCCTCTTGACGCCCCCTCATCATCTGCCACAGCAGCATCTGCACCTGTTGCTGCCAGCTACCCACCAGGTACAGCTGGCGCCTCCAGCTCAGCTGGTGACGTCAGCAGCAGCTACAGCAGCTACAGTAGCGGCCAGCAGCAGCAGGATTACCACCAGCAACAGCAGCAGCAGCAGGAGCTGCAGGAACTGGAGCAGCAGCAGGAAGAGCAGCAACAGCAGCAGGAGCAGCAGCAGAGGCAGCGGCAGGGAAGCATGACCATCAGAGGGCTTCTCTTCGCTCTCCGCAACCGCCTCGCCACCGCCGTGCTCCTCACCACGGCCGTGCAAACACTCTCCTTTGGAGCTCTCGAGGCCACACTCCCGTTCTTCCTCGCTGACACGTGCGACGCCGGACCGGCTTCTGTCGGGCTCGCGTTTGCGTTCAACGGATTGGCGTACTCGTTTGTCGCTTATGTTTCAGCGCACGCGCATGCTACCGCGCATCTCCACGTGCAGGCCCACTTGCACGCCCACGCCCGGGCAGCGCTCTCGTCGTTTTCCGCATTTTTCACGTTTCTCGTCGCGCTGGCTTCGTCCATGCTGCTCTATGTGAGGAGTTGGTCTCCGGGAGCGACGAATTCGGTTGGGATGACTATTCTCGCGTGGACACTTCCGTTGCTTATGATTCAAGAGTTATCGTGTAGCGCGGCCCGCATTCCACTGTATTTATTGATGGCGGCCAATGGTGTAGGGTACGCTCTTACGGAGCTTCCGAGCTTTGCCTCGCTGGTGTCTGCATCGGAGAGTGAGGAAGACGAGGAGGTGAATTTGCTCGATAGTGGTTATGCGCGGAGCAGCTCATATGGGGAACGGAGTGGAGGAGAAAAGCATATCGATGTGGCGGTGCTGGTTGCGTTGTACAACGGTGCAGGTGTGCTGGGGTATGCGTTTGGTCCGTTGTTGTCTACCGCGCTTGCTTCCAAGCTCCCGGCTTTTTGGGTGATGGTGTGCGTGTCTGGATTCCTGTGGCTGGTTGGGGCGTTTAGTGTTTGGGCTCGAAGAGCCCACTCTAGCAGACACACCAGGTAGGTAGGTAGTTAGTCACCTGTATTTATTTGTAATAAATGTTGTGATTTATCATTTATTATTACTTCAAAGTATAACACGGACGCATCATTTTCAGGCGTGTACTGAATTATCTTGCATGGTGATCACATGTACATCGTTGGGAAAATATGCCACTCAATAATATGTTTGGCAAAAAAATAACGGGTACGGTCACTGAAAAAAGGTGTTTTCACGTGTTTGGTAAAACATTTCACGGGAAAATATAACCCTAAAACATTTCAACTGGGAAAAAATAACGCGAATTGTCACAGATGAAACTCCCGCCCAAAATATATAATACCCAAAACGAACCTGGAAGCATTTTCGTATGAATCAAGGGAAAACATCATATTGGGGCCGAGTAGTGCCAGAGGGGTGATCAAATTAGGGCCGTTAAATCTCGACCGTAGGATTTCAACCCGGAGTTGACCAATGACTCGGCGAACAAGCCGAACCATGAGTAGAGAAATTTGCTAAAACGCACCGAATTTTGTGTGTTTATTTATTTTATTGAGGGTTTTGACCGCCGTTTACTATAACACGCGCGTCATCTTATTTTGGAATTAAGATTATGCATGTCAAATCGTGAGTACGTAACAACATAATGTTAAGATAGCAAGCATGAATGAACAGCAGAAGAGGGATTGCACTAGCAGCAGATGTGATACATACAGCAAACCCTAGATTGGGCTGTACTCACTATAGAGTATCCTACTGCAGACTAGACAATTATAACATTCTGACACACCCCCATAGTCAAAGTGGGGTATGATCAGTACAGCAAGCAGTCGCATAAGAAGTTCATAAGCACAAGCAAAGCTAGAGGTAGTCACAGAGGGCAAGTGAGGAGGAGGAACGACTGTGAGAGGAGTGGAGATAGGATGCGACGGATGAAGCCGCAGACACACGGGCAACAGGAGCGGGGCGCACGAGCTACCGGACACAAGCAAGGGTATCCAGACTACTGGAGTCATTGGCTCCGTGGCTAAGACGAGCGCCTGGAGCAACTGACCCACGGGCGACTGGCGCAGCATGCTCGTTGGGCTACCGGAGCAAGGGTGACTCTCGGACTACTGGCGCTGCTGACGTCACGACGGCTACCTCCGTTCAACCTCCCCCAACAGTCCCACACCCCTTTCACACACCCCTTGCTGCACCCCTAGCTCCACTCCCACGACACCCCCCTAGCGCCACTCCCTCGGCTCCCACACACCCACCCACTTCAGCGGCAGCTGCAGCAATGGGAAACGGAGGAGGAGGAGGAGCAGGGGACGACTCACACACCCGCCACCCCAATACTCGCCACCCCCACACCCCCAACGCAAGCGGCGCGTGGGCGGCGCGGGGCAGAAACGTGGGCAGCAGCTGGGGCGGCGTGCGAGCAGAAGCGGGGTAGTGCGCGGGTCTCTGGGGCGCTGCGACGGGCGACGGGCAGAGCGGCGCGCGGGCCCTCAGGGCGCCGCGACGGGCGACGGGTAGGGCGGCGCGCGGGCCCCCGGGGCGCCGCAGGTGACGGGAGGGGGGCGACGCGCGAGCCCCCGCGACGCCGCGACGGGCGATGGGAGGGGACAGCGCGCGGGCCCCCGGGGCGCGCGGCGGGCAGGGCGCGGGGCGGGCCCGAGCGCGCGGCGGGAAGAAAAAACGCCGCTCGCGCCGGACGCGCAGCAGGCAGAGAACGTCGCGCGCCCAGGGCGCGCGATAGGCAGGATAGCAGCGGAAGCAGCAGGGTGGGCTCATCAACAGGATCGACACGCGAAGGTCGACTTGCTCTGATAGCATGTTAAGATAGCAAGTAAGAATGAACAGCAGAAAGGGGATTGCACTAGCAACAGATAGGATACATATAGCAAATCCTAAATTGGGCTGTACACACTATAGAGTATCATACTGCAGACTAGACAATTATAGCATTCTGACACATAATATATTTTAGGTAATACACGTCACCTACCCGATCTGAAATGCACAGGAAAAAAAAAATTACCCATTCGGAAACGCATGCGACTCGAGAAGCATCAACCCTAAATACCAGGAAGGTCCCCCTTTTTTTTTAGGTTTGATCCATCCCAAAATCGCATCCACATTCCCTATGAGTTTTATTTTTTTTGCTGCCCTAGAGTTCCCGGCAGAGTCCGTTCGCTAAACGACACGCAAGCAAAAATGCGAGCCGGTACGTTCTACTAGTAACAGAACTACATGCAATAAACGAAGACCCTCTGTTAATCCCTCCTCGCGCAGCGGTTTGGTAAATTTCCGGCCTCTCAACCCCTGGTTGATCACCCCTCTGGCACTGTTCGGCCCCTGTTTGATCTTTTCTCATGAATCAACCCTAAACAAATCTCGACAGGTGTTTAGGGTTGATCCGTTCCCAAGCCTCATCCGATTCCGATTGAGTTTTAGTTTTTTTTTTAAATTGGCTGATTGGTTGGGCGTGAGCGGGAATTTCTTAGAGTTTCAATAAGTTTTGGCGGGAGTTATATGTGTGACCATTCGCGTGATTTTTTACCCGTTGTTAGTGACTGAATCCGTGACCCCACTTACCAAACCCGTCGACAAACCCTATAGAGTGACCGTACGCGTTACTTTTTTACCATTCACGTTATCGAGTCCCATGTTGGTTACTTGTGACATATTTTCCCGTACATCGTTCTTTATCTCAGCATAGGTGGCCCTAAATCCCAAACAAGCGATCATGGTCGAGCCCCTGCACCAGGCTCGGTCACATCCACGCGCCTCCCTGCCACAACCAACCATTCATCCTGGCTGACGCGGGATGCCCGAGGTGTAATCTCCGCCACACCCCGAATTACACAACGAAGTCAACGAAAAAATTGTAGGTTAGGAAAACCCCAGAAGGAGGTTCAGTGGGAAAATCGAGAACCAATCTCGTCAAAAACCCACTCAAAACCTTCGACCAATCACATGAAAGTGGTGACAGTTTTGGGGCCGACAAGGTAATTCTGGATGTGTCCTTTAACTCCCAAACGGCGGGCGCGCAGATTTCCCTCCCGCAAACTGGGTGCCGCCGCAACGACCTTTCGCTTGTGTAACTGGGTCAGCGAGCGCGCGGAATTTCCTCCTGCAATGCTGGCGCGGAGTTACCAGTGTATCAGCATTCAGCACCACACACGCGGCGCTCTTGTCATTGTTGGCGCGCCGAGCCCTTCCCCCTTACGACCCCTCCACTTCCCCGCATGACGCATACCATGTCATGTCATGTCATGCCCAAGGCCATGTCATGTCATGCCCCTCTCAAGCTTGGGAGGGATAGATGGAATGGAATCCCCAGATTCCTCCTAGCCGTGTCCGAGAGCCACAATAACCGTACTAGACCGAATAAAACACATGCGAAACAAACTAATCCTTTCTGGCACCCACATTACGGGATTCCTCTATTATTTCCCTCCATTCCTTCCCAACCAACCATCCGTTTCGCAACCATTACCTTGATAACTTGTGTGTGCCTCGTTGCTCTTAGTGTCCTTACAGAGAACCTCAGAATCGTAAAATCCAGGAATAGACGCCATTGCTCCAGCGGAAACAGTGAAACCGCGTCGAGAGCTGGAAGCACGGATATTTTCATCTCTAAGAGCTGCACGTTGATTTTTGAATAATCGGTGTTGGGAGAATCAAGATTGGAATTGGGATTCGGGAATCGAGATACGGGAATCAGGAATCCGGAGTCGGAATCCGGAGTGGGGATCATGGGGGGGCCAGACGGCGCGGGGGATCATGCTAGGCCTTCGACAGGGCAGAACGTACCGCAGTGGTACTACCAGGACTGGGCTGGCGAGCACGGGTACGTCGGATCGGACGGTGCCAATGGTGCTCCTCACTTGATCCTACGGTGGTCCTGTCCAGAGCCAACGGTGCTCTGTCTTGATCCAACGGTGCTCCTGTCTTGATCGAACGGTGCCTGTCGCGCATTGGACGGCTGTGATGCGTCCTTGAGGCGCACGAACGTCTTTCTGAACGATCTCGTGTCTCCCTCGAGCTGTTGATACGATTTTCGTACGGTTGGCCGGATTCTTCTGTTAACCTCCTCGTTCTTCACTTCGTTTGGCGTTTTCTTTCGTATCGCATTGTAGGCCTCGGACGCTCCTCCAATTAACGCAGGCGCTTCAGAAGGGTTATTTCACTCCCGACCTCCTGGTATGACGCGACGACGTCCTACCTCGCTTACCCTACATCTACATGTGCGATTTTCGTGTTGCGACCCTGGCAGTGTAACCAGCACAAGCATGTTCTCGTGTCTACTTTGAATCTTGTTGCGAAAAACCGCGAGTGTGACTTCAATAAATCCGTGGGTTCGTTCGTTCCGGGGGGGTGCAGGTTCGCAAGGAGGGCACACAGCGGTGGCACACGCTGCGAGACGTGCTCGACCTTCGACAGCTGCTGCGCGCGCGGAAACACGGGCAGGTGAGCGATCAGGGAAACGCGGGCAGGTTAGAGAGCAGGGAAACACGGGCAGGTGAGCGATCAGGGTAACCCGTGCAAGTGAATGAACGTAAAATTAGGGGGTCGAGTATACCAATGAATAGGGGTTGTATCACTTCTGAGACTTCTCCGTTTTCCGTTCCCTCCATCACCACCCCTTCTCCTTCCTCTCTCCCTTCGCGACGCATCCCCACTCCTTTCAGACGGGCCTGATTCCACCGCTGCACGGTATGCCTTCCTGTCCGGCAGGTCTGCGCCACGCCGCTCACAAACATTCAGTCCGACTTACAAAGCTTTTTTTTTTTTTTTTTTTTTCCCTGCCCCCCTTGCCTCCCCAATTCCGCCTAGCGGTCCCTTTTGCTGCTGCAGCAGGAGCAGCAGCAGCAGCAGCAGGAGGAGGAGGAGGGACTCCCTGACGGACAGGAGTGTCCTCTGGAATCCGCCATCACTGTAAATTGACTCCTTTGTTCCGTCCCCCCGTCCTTCTCCCGCATCTCCTCTCCTGCCAGACGGCCCCTGATGGCGCAGCAGCATCAGCAGGGACCGAGTGTCCTTGGAAGCCGCCACTGCCGCGTCAGCAGCTGCTCCCCCTTCGTCCCCTCACTCCCCATTCCATCCAGGCGGCCGCTGCTACCTCAGCAAGAGCATCAGTGGGAACCCCTTCACGAACGGCAGTCTCGTTGGAAGCCGCCACCCCTTCACAAATCCCTGAACCTCATTGACTCCTTTGTTCCGTCCCCCATCCTTCTCCTTCTCCCGTAACTCCGCTCCCACCAGGCGGCCCCTGATGGCGCAGCAACAATAGCAGGAGCAGGAACACCCTCACGGACAAAAGTCTCCTTGGAAGCCACCATTGCCGCGTCAGCAGCTGCTCCCCCCTCGTCCCCTCACTCCCCATTCCTACCAGGCGGCCCCTGATGCCTCAGCGACAGCATCAGCAGGAACCCCTTCACGGACAGCAGTCTCCTTGGAGGCCGCCACTGCCGCGTTCCCTTCACCATCGCCCCACTTCCCCCAATCCTTTCCCCCGTATCTCCGCTCTTATCAGGCCGCTCCTGATGGCTCGGCAACAGCAGCAGGAGCAGGAACCCCCTCACGGACGGCTGTCTCCTTAGAAGCCGCCACTGCCGCGTCAGCAGCTGCGCTGGCGGGGATCTCTCCGCGGCGAGACGGGTCCCCTGCTGCCGCCACGTCAGCCGCCGCGTCAGCAGCCGTGCCAGTTGTCAGCCTGATTTCCGCAGACGACCCAATCACAAATCTGTTCAAGACGCCCGGGCAGGTGAGATTTCGTTCAAGGCTCAAGGAAGGGACTTTTTTACTCAAACCTATCTTTGCCTATGTGAACGTGCATGAGCCCATTCAGCCGCTTCAGCCCCGTCAGCCCACACATGTCTCTCTCCCTCTGCCCCTTCACACGTGCACCTCCCCAGCCCTTTCCTCCTCTTTGCACCCCTCTGCACCTTTCTCCACCCACCAGGAGGAGTTCTACGTGGACACGCATGGCGAGGTGCAAGGCCCCTCTAGCTCGCACGTCCCTCGCCCAGCTCTCTCTAGCCATTTTCGCCTCTGTACCCCTCTGTGCCCCTCTGCGCCCCTCTGTGCCCCTCTGTACCCATCTGTACCCACCAGGAGTGGTTCTACGTGGACATGCACGGGGATGTGCAGGGCCCCTTCAGCTCACAGAAGATGCAGCGCTGGTGGACCAATCCCCTCTATAAGGACCACTTCTCCTCGCTAAAGTGCCGCAGAGGGCACCATGGTGAGTGTGATTATGAGGAGTGTGACTGTAACGTAGCAGTAAATAGGTCTCAACTGAAGATGGAGCGCTGGTGGACCAACCCCCTCTATAAGGATCATTTCTTTCTAAAGTGCCGCAGAGGGCACCATGGTAAGTAGTGAGTGTAAGGAGAGTGACAGTAGTGAGGGGTGTTCACTGAAGTTGCAGCGCTTGTGGACCAGCTCCCTCGATAAGGCCCTCTTCTCCTCATGAAAGTGATAAATGTTACCAACGTTTTCCTCTTTCCCTGGTTCCACCCCTCTCCTGTGTTTCCCCCTCTCGTTTTTCCCCCTCTTGTGTTCAACCCGTTTTCCCCCCTCACTGTGTTCCTTCAGTGTTTCTCACTCTCTCTTGTGTGTTTCCTCCTTGTGTCCCTTCCCCGCTGGTATTCCCCCAGGCTAGTTCCGCCTGCTGCCTGAAATAGCAGAGGAATTTTGAGGCGCATCAAAAGTCTCGTACTTTCCTCTCCCCCCCTTTTCCCCGTGCCTTTTCCCCCGCTGCTGGTATTCCCCCAGGCGAGTTCCGCCTGCTGCCCGAAATAGCAGAGGAGGTCTTCGATGCCTCGAAAGCCTCCTGATCTCCCCCCTCCCCTCTCAACCCCCCCCACTCTCCCTCCTTTCCCTGTGTTTTTTGTTCCCCGCTTGTATTTCCTCAGGCGAGTTCCGCCTGCTGCCTGAAATAGCAGAGGAGGTGGCAACGAGAGGGCCTCCTCCGGAATCACCCAAGCAACTTGGGTATAGAGACCCTGGCAGCGCGGGCAAGGTATGTCGAAACGCGAGGCCAAGGGAAGGAGGGAGAGATGGAGGGAGGAGGGTGGGAAGATGAGGGTGGTGGAGCAAAGGAGGATGAATCACCGCATACAAGGGAAGGAGGGATGGTAGTCAGTCGCTGTGAGTGATGCATGAGGAGGGCGAGATGGAGAGGAGGTGCTGGGGGGGTGGAGTGGAGGAGAGGGGATGGATTGGCCACTCACAAAGCACCCCGCCCTCCATGTGCAGCCAGGTTGAGGGTTTTGAGATCACGATATAGGGGTTAGGGTTTTAGTCAAGAGGAGGAGAGCTGTCTGGCAAAGGAGGTGGAGGGGCTGTGAGGCACCTCACATAGCCCCTGCCACTCCCCCTTCCCCCACCCCCTCTCCCCGTTACCCACTTCCACCTCGGTCCCCACCCCATCTTCCATCCCCCTCCCTCCTTATCTGTTTCAGAAGGCTCCGAAGTGTGAGAGATATGTCCGGTCGGGGTCAAGGAAAGAGGAGAGCGACCTGGCCAAGCAGACTCACACACCCTCCCCTCCCCTCTCGCCTCCTCCCTCCCTTTCTCCTCCTCCACCCCTCGTTCAGAAGGCTCCGAAGAGCGAGCGATACGTGCGGTCGGGGTCAAGGAAGGAGGAGAGCGACCTGGCCAAGGAGGTGGAGGAGCTGAAGCAGCAGGTGGAGCGACTGGAGGTGGACAACGAGGGGCTGAGGAACTCGCAGGAGGACACCTTCATTGTGAGTCATGTGAACGTTGGCTCTTGAGCTGCCTTCATTCCGAGGCTTGTTGGGTGTGCTCTTTGCTGTATGACTTTTTGGGTGTGCTTTTGGGTGTGCTTTTGGGCGTGCTTTTGGGTGTGCTTTTGGGCGTGCTTTTGGGCGTGCTTTTGGGCGTGCTTTTGGCCCTAGGACTGCCCTCTTGGGGCTGTCCTCTTGGCTGTCGGATTGCCGCAGTCCCTTCCTTCCCCTTGCAGCTGCGCATGCATGCATGGCTCTTTCCAAAGTCACAGTGCAGAAGCGGGGGAAGGAGAGTCGGCAGGTGATGTTGCCGTATGCGTATCCTTACACCTGCTATCTCTCTCTCTCTCTCTCTCTCTCGCATCCTTGTTCCCTTTTCTCTGCCTTCTCCTCCTTGTTAGTAGTTTGATGCAAGCGGAGCGTCTGTTGAGGGAGAAAGCAGAACAACCACAAGAAGTGACGATGCTGAAGCGTGAAAAGGAGTCTCTGCAGGAGCTGCTGCAGTACGCGCAGCAGTTTGACATTGCAGATGAGGGCGTGGCTGATGAGCTGAGACGATTTTTGAGGCGCCTCAAAAATAGCAGCAGTTTGGTGCGACTTTTGAGAATTCTTACAAGCTTTCAAAAATAGCAGCAGTTTGACATTGCAGACGAGGGCGTGGTTGATGAGCTGATAGCGGGCGCAACTCCTCTCTTACACCCCCTCCCCCTCATAACCCCCCTCCCCCCCCTCTCATGACCCCCTTCCCCCCTCCCCAACCCTCCCCTTTTCCTTCTCTCCCTTTCTGCAGCTACGCATGCAAGTCGAGCGCTTGCTGCGAGAAAAGGCAGAGCTGGCACGCGAGGTCACGATGCTGAAGAGGGAGAAGGAGTCTCTCCAGGAGCTGCTGCAGTACGCGCAGCAGTTTGACATTGCAGACGAGGGCGTGGCTGATGAGCTGATAGCGGGCGAGGAGGGCGAGGGGATGGGTGGGAACGAGTGGGGGGCGGGCGAGGGGGACCGGGCCACAGAGGAGTGGTTTCAGATGCTCGAGGCTGCCTCTCATAAAAACCCCAGCGACTTAGAGGAGAATTAAGTTGTGGGTGAGGTCTGGTTGAGGTACGGATGAGGTCTGGGGGAGGTCTGGTTGAGGTCTGGGCGAGGTCTGGTTGAGGTCCGGGCGAGGTCTGGGCGAGGTCTGGGCAAGGTCTGGGCGAGGTCTGAGGTGTGGGTGGTGAGTGTGCAGGATCGTTCTAGTGCAGCATCTCCTGATGAGAGTGCAGCATCAGGAGCTGCTGCAGTACGTGCATGAGGGAAAGTGGTTCGAGGAGTTGAGAGCGGCTACTCAGACCATGTTGGTGAAAACTGGGAGCTTCTGCTTTAGAGTGTGTTGGTGGTATCAGCGTGGTGCGAGGGAGGTGTGAAGGAGGTGTCAGGGTGTAGTCAGGGAGGTGTCAGGGAGGTGTCAGGGAGGTGCCAGGGAGATGTCAGTGTGGTGTCGGGGATAAAGGATGTGTCAACTTGGACAAAGGGCGGGGATGAAAGGGTGGAGAGGTGGGGGAGGATGGCTACCCCATGACTGGGTGGAAGAGAAGCAGGCGACCAGCGGTTGGTGCAGGGAGGCCTGGAGTTGAACCCTCTCGGAAAAAAGCCCTCTGCATTGGAGACGGGAGGGAGGAAGGTGCTCCATTTGGGCTGGAGTGACAGATGCTGTCGGCCTGGAGGGTTGTGAGACTCAAGAATTGTGTAGCCGAGCGCTACAGTGGGAAGGCAGAAGCTGAAGAAGCAGAAGCAGCAGTAGCACGAGCAGCAGCAGGTGCAGCAGTAGTAGGAGGGTGTGTTGCAAGCTGTGCTGTGGCAAGCAACCACAACCTGTAGAGTACCGTACAAGGTTCCATAGGTGCAGCATTAGCTGTAGTTTAGTAGCAGCCTGGGCATTCAAAACGACCATAGCCAAGAAATCACTTGTAGTACGTATGTTGTGCTCGGCAGTGTACCCACTTGGTCCCGTTAGTTTCACGATCATTATTTACGAGGTTTGAGTATGAAAAAGCTATACTGTACATCCTTTGGACAGAATAAACATCAACTCCAAACAGGCAAAAAACATATAAAACAGAATCTATACATTTACTGGAAGGAAGCAGAACCCTACTGGGCCCTAAGAGCACTTGTTTACCGTATGCTCTGCTAGCCTTTAGCCCCAAACCAGACAGACATGCACCAACAATGACACAAACCCCATACGATGACGCAAAAAACAAGCATGCCACCCCCCAACCATAAATACACCTGATGAGACATACTGCTCTAAAGTAAACAGCAAAAGGTTTCAAACATTGTAAGGGGGGACGTTGTCCTTCACTGCAGCTGGCACAGCTGCATCTGCAATGGCCTTGAGCACACCGCGCTTGTACATGCGGATGGTGTAGTACCAGAACATCGCAATGTAGACGAAGGAAGCGAAATACGCCATGGCACATGCACCACGAACCTTGCTCACATCCGCGTTAATGGTGTCAATGTACTGATTGACTAAGGTTTTAGAGTCTATTGCGCCGGTGAGTGTGTAGCTGTAGCCCGATAAGGCCAGCAGGTCCTTGGCGCTGATGCCACTGATATCGCCAAGAAGATAACTGCGAGACGGGGAGAAAGGAAAGCAAACATTGGAAAGTGCAAAACCGCAAAAGCTTACTAATTTCATTGGGGTGTGTAGGCACGTTAAAAGTTTTAACATGTTTCCTTTTCTACTGTAGTTATGCCAAAGTGGAACGTACCCGCTCAAAGCGCTGGTGTTCCACCACGTGTTGCACGCAGCTGCTGCGGACGTGGCGGCCGCGAACAACAGAAGTGACATAATCTGTCGATTTCAGGGGTGGGGAGGGGTTGAGCAGAAACAATGAAATGTTTCCGGTACTAATAAGGCACTTCAAACGGTCAGTGATGTTGAGATAGATTCACCACGACTCACGTGATTTTCACGGATTTGCTGAGGGTATGTAACTCACGTAGGACTCGAAGAACTGCACGATGTCCATCAGCCAATCGTAGGACTCGGAGCCGGCGACGCACATGCGCACGGAGTTGTAGACGAGCAGCATGACGGCGAATATGAACCCCAGAATGGCCATTCCCACTAGAAACGCCCCCGCGCTGTACGACGTCACTGTCGCCTTGGTCGCGAACAACAGACTGCGGAGTGGGAAGGAAATAAACAAGGGAGGTAGAAATGCAATATGCTGAGAAAAAAACTGTACGAAGATGGATGCATTTTTATAAAATCGTGAGAAGGTGAATGGAACTCGAACTGGGATTGAGCAGGTAAATGAATCATTATGCGTTAGTTAAAGCGACGAGCGCACCTGAAAGTGATGAGGCAGAAGAAGAAGAGGCCGATGCGAAGGCCGAAAGGGAGCCATGTGTACAGCGGGGACCGCTTGTTGTTAGCGCAGCACCCATCCGCACAGCACCCCGCCGAATTGCTCGGCGGTGGCGGTGGCGCTGGCGGAGCGGCGTACTGGGGTGGCGGTGGAGCCGCGTTGAAACTTCCAGCATTCATGCCCTGCATGTTCGGAATTTGCTGCTCAGCCATTTCAAATTGCAAAATTTCCTTGGAAATTGCGGGAGCACGCCGAGTGTGATCTCACGGAAACTACTACTATCACGTGATAAAAATAACAGGCGATGGGCTTTGGTGGCGCGTCTGGGAAAACAGCGAGGGAAATCTCAGTAAAGCTCAGCTCTTCGTGGAGTTATATTGAAAGGCGATGCTGGGAACTAGAGTGGCGCGAGTAAACAAGAACACAGTGAAGAAAGGGATGGACTGAAAACTGGTGTGGGAAGAGGGACTATGCCCAACACATTTATCTTGAATTGCTGGAAGGGAATGCAAGAATGGTGCTGCTGGGGATGGAAGGAAAACCACTGCACGGCGCGGTCCACTAGGGTGGGTTGGGTAGGCGTTGCGGTGGGAGTCAATTCCAGCTACCCAAAAGACTTTTACGGCTTACGCCAATTCGTGGCCGAGCTGGCCAGGTCAACAACGTCTCTCAACTTTCATTGGCTGAAATAGTCGTGCTGTGAGTTTTCACGTTGGGTCAATGCTGTGTGAGTCTTGCTTCGCTTTGCTGGCGGAAATCCACCTCGGCATGCTCAAGTTGTGACGACGTGCACGTGCATCAATACACCCGGAACTTCATTTTACACTGATCTGCTACATGCAGTAGAAAAACAAAATGCAGAGTATACATGCAATCCATTATTTCCCCTGATTTTGGGCGTGCCATTTGAAAGTATGCATGGAATTGCAACACTGCAAGACTCAATAATACCCTGACCCACAAGTACGTGATAGGTTGATCTTATGCCATAAAGAACCTTGGTAGCTCACATGTGGTCATGGTAGAAGTTTGGGGTCGAATGCATGCACGATGTGCGTGTCTCAAATTGGAATGAACGAAGGTTGGCCTGGCCAGCATCTGTAGGTCTCAACTACGGTAGTACAGCTTGCTCCAAGAAGCTTCTTATTTCTAGAACTAAAAGCTGATTATGGGTTTAGGGTTTCAGGCACCTGGACCGCTTCTTTTTTAATCGCACAAAAATGGTAGTTCGAAAGGTGTTAAGCCTTGTATTGGAAAAAGCCCGAAACCTAAAGACCGATTTCGCTGAGGAGCTGCTTCCAACGCTTAGGCTCTTCATCGAAAATGTATGTAACAGGTGTTACCAGCACTCCACTTCCACCAGCCTGCATTGAAGAAATTCAAATGGGCAAATGGAATAATAAGGTAACACAGAGGCCTCAAGACGTTAGTGTGGCACAACGACTTGAGGCACACCATGGCAGCTTAGAAAATAGTGAATATTGAATGCTACCTCACCACCCTACACCACCCTAACTCTCCCCCCCCCCCCCCCCCCCCCGCCCCCCCCCCCCCTCTCCCAACAAACAACAACCAACTTGCTCTCACCACCCGCCACTCCAGCCCAAAGCTCCCCAAATATCCCACCTTTTCTAATTGCTAACACCCCACCTTTCTCATCCCTACTCACCCCACATCCCTCATCCCTCATATCAACTCACTACCCATATTCGCCAGAACCACATAACCTTCCTAGGCTTACCGAACCTTCCCTTCCCAGCTTAACCACCCCACCTTGCGCAACTCCCAGATGGACGTGTAGGTCTGGGCACGAGGCACCACCACAATGGTCAGAGAAATAGTATATCTCCACTGATCACCCCTCCAAACCGCACTAGACCCATCCACCTTGCGCAGCTCCCGGATAGAGGTATAGATCCGTGCACGAGAGACCACCACGGGCAGCCACCCGCCCCTATATGCCCCTCCCTTTCCGCCCTTGCCCCCTGCTCCCCTTAACCACCTCACCTTAAGCAGCTCCCGGATGGACGTGTAGATTAATAATCACTGCTCCCAACCACTCGATACTCCCTCAAACACCCCACCGTGCGCAGCTCCCGGATGGACGTGTAGACCTGGGCACGCGGCACCACCACAGTGGCTGAGAAGTAATCCACCATCACACACCACATCACCGCTCCCAACCACCCCAGCTAACCTCCCAACCACAATACGCCCCTCTCAACCACCCCACCTTGCGCAGCTCCCTGATAGACTTGTAGATCTGGGCACGAGGCACCACCACAGTGGCTGAGAAGTAATCCACCATCACACACCACATCACCGCTCTCAACCACTCTACGCTCCTCCGAATCCACTAGTCTCACCTTGCGCAGCTCCCTGATAGACTTGTAGATCTGCGCGCGCGGCACCACGACAGTGGCTGAGAAGTAATCCACCTTGATCCCCGCTGCTCCATCTGACGAGTCGTCTCCCCGCGAGTACACTCGTGAGATGGTGGGGCCCTGGTGTTGGGGAGGGGTGGTGTGTGGAGAGGGAAGAAGGAGGTTGGGGAGAGTGGGAAGTTGGTTCATTCAGGAGCACCATCACAGTGGCTGAGAAATAATCCACCTTGATCTCCGCTGCTCCATCCAATGAGTCATACGCCTCGCGAGTACACTCGCGAGATGGTGGGGCACTGGTGTTGAGAGGCGAGGAGGGGGGAGGGAATGGGGGGAGTAAGGGGGAATTAAGGGAAAATAGAAGGCGAAGGAGAGGAGGAGAAGGAGAAAAGGCGAAGGAGAAGAGGAGAAAGAGAAAAGGCCAAGGAGAAGAGATGACGGAAAGGGGATAAGGAGAAGGGGCGAAGGAGAAGAGGCGAAGGAAAGGGGAGAAGGAGAAGTGGCGAAGGAGAAGAGGCGAAGGAGAAGAGGAGAAAGAGAAAAGCCAAGGAGAAGAGATGACGGAAAGGGGATAAGGAGAAGGGGCGAAGGAGAAGTGGCGAAGGAAAGGGGAGAAGGAGAAGTGGCGAAGGAGAAGAGGTGAAGGAGAAGGCGAAGGACAAGAGGTTCAGAGCAAAGGACGGAGGACAGGAGTGCCCACCTGCAGGCCAGGGAAGGAGGTGTTCTCACCTGCAGGCCAGGGAAGGAGGTGTTCTCACCTGCAGGCCAGGGAAGGAGGTGTTCTCACCTGCAGGCCAGGGAAGGAGGTGTTCTCACCTGCAGGCCAGGGAAGGAGGTGCTCTCACCTGCAGGCCAGGGAAGGAGGTGTTCTCACCTGCAGGCCAGGGAAGGAGGTGTTCTCACCTGCAGGCCAGGGAAGGAGGTGTTCTCACCTGCAGGCCAGGGAAGGAGGTGTTCTCACCTGCAGGCCAGGGAAGGAGGTGCTCTCACCTGCAGGCCAGGGAAGGAGGTGTTCTCACCTGCAGGCCAGGGAAGGAGGTGTTCTCACCTGCAGGCCAGGGAAGGAGGTGCTCTCACCTGCAGGCCAGGGAAGGAGGTGTTCTCACCTGCAGGCCAGGGAAGGAGGTGTTCTCACCTGCAGGCCAGGGAAGGAGGTGTTCTCACCTGCAGGCCAGGGAAGGAGGTGCTCTCACCTGCAGGCCAGGGAAGGAGGTGCTCTCACCTGCAGGCCAGGGAAGGAGGTGTTCTCACCTGCAGGCCAGGGAAGGAGGTGTTCTCGAGCACTCTGTGCGCCACGTCCTCCTCTGATAGCCCCCTCATGTTGGCCGTCACCTGCACAACGTGGTGCAGAGGAGTGCAGAGCAGTGCAGAGGAGTGCAGAGGAGTGAAGAGGAGTGAAGAGGAGTGCAGAGGAGTGAAGAGGAGTGCAGAGGAGTGCAGAGGAGTGAAGAGGAGTGCAGAGGAGTGAAGAGGAGTGCAGAGGAGTAGAGAGGTGACGCAGAGATGAATCAGTCAGGTCCTATTCCGAAGCCCTTGTCACAGTGCCCAACGAGCTCGATGAAACAGTTTCATCTCACCATGCACTGGTCTGGTATCATCTCACAATGTACTGGTCGCGCGCGCACAGGTGCGCCTCAATGCGCTCCAGCATCTCCTTGGTCATCCCCAGCAGCCCCTCCCTCTCCTCCAACGCCCTCCTCTGCTCCCCCCCTTCCCCCCACCCCCAACTCCCCACCCCCACAATGCCCCCCCACAACCTGCTGTGCTGCTGTGCCACACCATGCCACAAAGCACAGGGGTTCAACTCCCAAACTGTTGGTTTCATTCCCCGAAACCCCAGTTTCAACTCCCAAGTCCCCAGTGTCATCTACCAAGGCCCATCTCACTCACAATGTACTGGTCGCGCGCGCACAGGTGCGCCTCAATGCGTTCCAGCATCTCCTTTGTCATCCCCAGCAGCCCCTCCCTCTCCTCCAACGCCCTCCTGCTCACCACAAATACACCCTGCCACGTGCATGCAAACCGACGGAGAATGGAACGGAGGGGAGGGGAGGGGAGGGGTGGGGAGGGGAGGGGAGGGGAGGGGAGGGGAGGGGAGGGGAGGGGAGGGGAGGGGAGGGGAGGGGAGGGGAGGGGAGGGGAGGGACGCCTTAGGATCGCCTTAGGAATCCTCTCCTTCAACGCTCCCCTGCTCACCACAAACATGAGCTGGCATATTCAAGCGATGTGAGAGTGAGAGTGGAGGAAAAGGGAGGGGAGGGTTGGGGGCCAGAAAATGGGACGATCGACCAATATAGACCTCTTACCCGATACAAGCCTCTTTCTCAACCTCACCTGGCTCTTAAGGACGTCCGCCCCTTTCAACTCCTTGAGGTTGTTCTCCTTGAGCGTCGTGCCCGTGCTGACCACGTGAACTACACTTTATACCCCATATAAGCCTTTCCCTCTCTCCCACATCCTCACCTGGCTCTTGAGCACGTCCGCCCCCTTGAGCTCTTTCAAGTTGTTCTCCTTGAGCGTCGTGCCCGTGCTGACCACGTGAACTACACTTTATACCCCATATAAGCCTTTCCCTCTCTCCCACATCCTCACCTGGCTCTTGAGCACGTCCGCCCCCTTGAGCTCTTTCAAGTTGTTCTCCTTGAGCGGCCCGTGCTGACCACGTGAACTACACTTTATACCCCATATAAGCCTTTCCCTCTCTCCCACATCCTCACCTGGCTCTTGAGCACGTCCGCCCCCTTGAGCTCTTTCAAGTTGTTCTCCTTGAGCGTCGTGCCTTTGCTGACCACGTGAACTACACTTTATACCCCATATAAGCCTTTCCCTCTCTCCCACATCCTCACCTGGCTCTTGAGCACGTCCGCCCCCTTGAGATCTTTCAAGTTGTTCTCCTTGAGCGTCGTGCCCGTGCTGACCACGTGAACTACACTTTATACCCCATATAAGCCTTTCCCTCTCTCCCACATCCTCACCTGGCTCTTGAGCACGTCCGCCCCCTTGAGCTCTTTCAAGTTGTTCTCCTTGAGCGTCGTGCCCGTGCTGACCAGATCCAAGATAGCGTCGGCTGTGCCCATCTGAGGCGAGGAAGAGAGGGGGAAGGGGGGGAAGGTGGGGAAGGGGGGGAAGGGGGGAAAGGTGGGGAAGGGGGGGAAGGGGGGGAAGGGGAGGAAGGGGGGGAAGGGGGGGAAGGGGGGGAAGAGGGGGAAGGGGGAAGGGGGGGGAGAGGGGGAAGGGGGAAGGTGGGGAATGGGAGAAGGGGGTAAGGGGGGAGTCGTTACAATGGAGAAGAGGACAGCAACATTAGAAGGACAGATATGGCTGGTGCCTGTGATTACCAGGTCCACAATGGCGTATGCTATCAGGAAAGAGCTCAGTCGACCCAATGAACTCAGCACCATCGGTCGTGAAGAGTTGCGCGTGCGGGAAGAGGAGGAGGTGGGGAGCGGGGGTGAGCTGGGTATCAGGAAGTAGCTCAGTCAGTGAGCAGAGCAGACCCGTTGAACTTACAGCAGGAGCGGCTTCCAAGGCGCCATCAGCTGTGGACAGCTGCACGTGGGGGAAGCCGAGCTGGTCAAAGAAACGCCGGCCTAGCTGCATGCATCAGACAGGGGGGGGGGGGAGAAGGGGAACGGGAGGAGAGGGGAGGGAGATGAGAGGTGGTATGGTGGCATGATGGCCCAGTAGCACCGTAGCAGGGTAGCACATGGGTGTGGTGGAAGGACCGACTGACATGCGTGTAGCCCTGTGACTCTAACGAGGGGGAACTCACATGCGTGTAGCCCTGTGACTCTAACGAGGGGGAACTCACATGCGTGTAGCCCTGTGACTCTAACGAGGGGGAACTCACATGCGTGTAGCCCTGTGACTCTAACGAGGGGGAACTCACATGCGTGTAGCCCTGTGACTCTAACGAGGGGCAACTCACATGCGTGTAGCCCTGTGACTCTAACGAGGGGCAACTCACATGCGTGTAGCCCTGTGACTCTAACGAGGGGCAACTCACATGCGTGTAGCCCTGTGACTCTAACGAGGGGGAACTCACATGCGTGTAGCCCTGTGACTCTAACGAGGGGGAACTCACATGCGTGTAGCCCTGTGACTCTAACGAGGGGGAACTCACATGCGTGTAGCCCTGTGACTCTAACGAGGGGGAACTCACATGCGTGTAGCCCTGTGACTCTAACGAGGGGGAACTCACATGCGTGTAGCCCTGTGACTCTAACGAGGGGCAACTCACATGCGTGTAGCCCTGTGACTCTAACAAGGGGGAACTCACATGCGTGTAGCCCTGTGACTCTAACGAGGGGCAACTCACATGCGTGTAGCCCTGTGACTCTAACGAGGGGCAACTCACATGCGTGTAGCCCTGTGACTCTAACGAGGGGCAACTCACATGCGTGTAGCCCTGTGACTCTAACGAGGGGCAACTCACATGCGTGTAGCCCTGTGACTCTAACGAGGGGGAACTCACATGCGTGTAGCCCTGTGACTCTAACGAGGGGGAACTCCCCTGTGACTCTAACGAGGGGGGACTCACATGCGTGTAGCCCTGTGACTCTAACGAGGGGGAACTCACATGCGTGTAGCCCTGTGACTCTAACGAGGGGCAACTCACATGCGTGTAGCCCTGTGACTCTAACAAGGGGGAACTCACATGCGTGTAGCCCTGTGACTCTAACGAGGGGCAACTCACATGCGTGTAGCCCTGTGACTCTAACGAGGGGCAACTCACATGCGTGTAGCCCTGTGACTCTAACGAGGGGCAACTCACATGCGTGTAGCCCTGTGACTCTAACGAGGGGGAACTCACATGCATGTAGCCCTGTGACTCTAACGAGGGGCAACTCACATGCGTGTAGCCCTGTGACTCTAACGAGGGGCAACTCACATGCGTGTAGCCCTGTGACTCTAACGAGGGGGAACTCCCCTGTGACTCTAACGAGGGGGGACTCACATGCGTGTAGCCCTGTGACTCTAACGAGGGGGAACTCACATGCGTGTAGCCCTGTGACTCTAACGAGGGGCAACTCACATGCGTGTAGCCCTGTGACTCTAACAAGGGGGAACTCACATGCGTGTAGCCCTGTGACTCTAACGAGGGGCAACTCACATGCGTGTAGCCCTGTGACTCTAACGAGGGGCAACTCACATGCGTGTAGCCCTGTGACTCTAACGAGGGGCAACTCACATGCGTGTAGCCCTGTGACTCTAACGAGGGGGAACTCACATGCATGTAGCCCTGTGACTCTAACGAGGGGCAACTCACATGCGTGTAGCCCTGTGACTCTAACGAGGGGCAACTCACATGCGTGTAGCCCTGTGACTCTAACGAGGGGCAACTCACATGCGTGTAGCCCTGTGAATCTAACGAGGGGGAACTCACATGCGTGTAGCCCTGTGACTCTAACGAGGGGCAACTCACATGCGTGTAGCCCTGTGACTCTAACGAGGGGGAACTCACATGCGTGTAGCCCTGTGACTCTAACGAGGGGGAACTCACATGCGTGTAGCCCTGTGACTCTAACGAGGGGGAACTCACATGCGTGTAGCCCTGTGACTCTAACGAGGGGCAACTCACATGCGTGTAGCCCTGTGACTCTAACGAGGGGCAACTCACATGCGTGTAGCCCTGTGACTCTAACGAGGGGCAACTCACATGCGTGTAGCCCTGTGACTCTAACGAGGGGGAACTCACATGCGTGTAGCCCTGTGACTCTAACGAGGGGGAACTCACATGCGTGTAGCCCTGTGACTCTAACGAGGGGGAACTCACATGCGTGTAGCCCTGTGACTCTAACGAGGGGGAACTCACATGCGTGTAGCCCTGTGACTCTAACGAGGGGGAACTCACATGCGTGTAGCCCTGTGACTCTAACGAGGGGCAACTCACATGTGTGTAGCCCTGTGACTCTAACAAGGGGGAACTCACATGCGTGTAGCCCTGTGACTCTAACGAGGGGCAACTCACATGCGTGTAGCCCTGTGACTCTAACGAGGGGCAACTCACATGCGTGTAGCCCTGTGACTCTAACGAGGGGCAACTCACATGCGTGTAGCCCTGTGACTCTAACGAGGGGCAACTCACATGCGTGTAGCCCTGTGACTCTAACGAGGGGGAACTCACATGCGTGTAGCCCTGTGACTCTAACGAGGGGGAACTCACATGCGTGTAGCCCTGTGACTCTAACGAGGGGGGACTCACATGCGTGTAGCCCTGTGACTCTAACGAGGGGGAACTCACATGCGTGTAGCCCTGTGACTCTAACGAGGGGCAACTCACATGCGTGTAGCCCTGTGACTCTAACAAGGGGGAACTCACATGCGTGTAGCCCTGTGACTCTAACGAGGGGCAACTCACATGCGTGTAGCCCTGTGACTCTAACGAGGGGCAACTCACATGCGTGTAGCCCTGTGACTCTAACGAGGGGGAACTCACATGCATGTAGCCCTGTGACTCTAACGAGGGGCAACTCACATGCGTGTAGCCCTGTGACTCTAACGAGGGGCAACTCACATGCGTGTAGCCCTGTGACTCTAACGAGGGGCAACTCACATGCGTGTAGCCCTGTGAATCTAACGAGGGGGAACTCACATGCGTGTAGCCCTGTGACTCTAACGAGGGGCAACTCACATGCGTGTAGCCCTGTGACTCTAACGAGGGGCAACTCACATGCGTGTAGCACTGTGACTCTAACGAGGGGGAACTCACATGCGTGTAGCCCTGTGACTCTAACGAGGGGCAACTCACATGAGTGTAGCCTGTGACTATACGGAGGGGCAACTCACATGAGTGTAGCCTGTGACTATACGGAGGGGCAACTCACATGCGTGTAGCCCTGTGACTCTAACGAGGGGGAACTCACATGCGTGTAGCCCTGTGACTCTAACGAGGGGGAACTCACATGCGTGTAGCCCTGTGACTCTAACGAGGGGGAACTCACATGCGTGTAGCCCTGTGACTCTAACGAGGGGGAACTCACATGCGTGTAGCCCTGTGACTCTAACGAGGGGCAACTCACATGTGTGTAGCCCTGTGACTCTAACAAGGGGGAACTCACATGCGTGTAGCCCTGTGACTCTAACGAGGGGCAACTCACATGCGTGTAGCCCTGTGACTCTAACGAGGGGCAACTCACATGCGTGTAGCCCTGTGACTCTAACGAGGGGCAACTCACATGCGTGTAGCCCTGTGACTCTAACGAGGGGCAACTCACATGCGTGTAGCCCTGTGACTCTAACGAGGGGGAACTCACATGCGTGTAGCCCTGTGACTCTAACAAGGGGGAACTCACATGCGTGTAGCCCTGTGACTCTAACGAGGGGGGACTCACATGCGTGTAGCCCTGTGACTCTAACGAGGGGGAACTCACATGCGTGTAGCCCTGTGACTCTAACGAGGGGCAACTCACATGCGTGTAGCCCTGTGACTCTAACAAGGGGGAACTCACATGCGTGTAGCCCTGTGACTCTAACGAGGGGCAACTCACATGCGTGTAGCCCTGTGACTCTAACGAGGGGCAACTCACATGCGTGTAGCCCTGTGACTCTAACGAGGGGGAACTCACATGCGTGTAGCCCTGTGACTCTAACGAGGGGGAACTCACATGCATGTAGCCCTGTGACTCTAACGAGGGGCAACTCACATGCGTGTAGCCCTGTGACTCTAACGAGGGGCAACTCACATGCGTGTAGCCCTGTGACTCTAACGAGGGGCAACTCACATGCGTGTAGCCCTGTGAATCTAACGAGGGGGAACTCACATGCGTGTAGCCCTGTGACTCTAACGAGGGGCAACTCACATGCGTGTAGCCCTGTGACTCTAACGAGGGGCAACTCACATGCGTGTAGCACTGTGACTCTAACGAGGGGGAACTCACATGCGTGTAGCCCTGTGACTCTAACGAGGGGCAACTCACATGAGTGTAGCCTGTGACTATACGGAGGGGCAACTCACATGCGTGTAGCCCTGTGACTCTAACGAGGGGCAACTCACATGCGTGTAGCCCTGTGACTCTAACGAGGGGGAACTCACATGCGTGTAGCCCTGTGACTCTAACGAGGGGCAACTCACATGAGTGTAGCCTGTGACTATACGGAAGGGGTTGTCAGCGGACCACTGAGGCATGGCGATGAGATCGTGGATTGAGTTGATCCGCTCGAATATGCCGTATGACGGCACCTGGTAGGGGTAAGGGCAGGACAGGGAGATAGGACAGCAGGGAGGGGGGATGGGCATGGGCACTAGTGGCATGGGCAGCAACAATACACAGGGGGGGCATGGCGATGAGATCTTGAATGGAGTTGACTCACTCGAATATCCCGTATTACGGCACCTGAATCCATACAACCTTAAAATACATATACCCACAACCAAAAAAAGGAAAAACAAATTTCCATAGATATGTACTGATGCGATTTTGTGATTAAGCAAACGAACATACGAGAGGCAACAAGCATGCCAAAGGAGATTGGATGCGACCACAAGTAACCTACTGAAGTTTGCCACGTGGCACTCCCGGCAATGCTGAGGTGGCACTCACGGCAATGCTGAGGTGGCACTCACGGCAATGCTGAGGTGGCACTCACGGCAATGCTGAGGTGGCACTCACGGCAATGCTGAGGTGGCACTCACGGCAATGGTGAGGTGGCACTCACGGCAATGCTGAGGTGGCACTTGCCGAAGCCAAGGGAGTCGTGCACAATGACAAGATTGGGATCGTCCTGGCGTGTGCGTGGAGGGGGAAAGGGGGAGGGGAGGGGAGAGGGGAGAGTGGGGAGGGGAGAATGGAGAGGCGAGAGGGAGAGGGTAGACGGTAGAGGGGAGAGGGGAGAGGGGAGAGGGAGAGGGGAGAAGGGAGAGGGGTGAAAGGAGAGGAAAGAGGGGGAATGGCAGATGAATTGGGGGAGGGGGAGGCAGTGGGGGTCATGGAGTCATGGGTTCATGGGGTCGTTCGTGTGGTGTGTTCATCATGTAATGAGGTGCCTTTTCGTTCTTTAGACATCGGAACCCTGACGATCACTTGTGTTTTTGAGTCCGACTCAAAAGACGATCAGTTGTGTCTTCCACTCTCTACCCATTTACAGCCCATAATCCCCGTCACCACCATACCTTGCCACGCTCATGCCTGCCATACCACGCCACACCATGTCTTTAATCACTGCCGTACCTTGCCATACTCCTTCACCATGTCGTACCCCACAATCGTCATGTCCACGTCACCGCTCAGCAGCTTCCGCACGCAGTCCGACGCGCGCTGAAACCACACCTCCAGGCCCTCAATCTGTCACAGGCGCGGGGAAGGGGGGAGGAGGAGGGGGGATGAAAGGGGGAATGTACGGGGAGGGGGAAAGTGGGAAAGGGGGAAATGCGAGGGGAAGGGTAGCAGAGGAGTAAGGGGAGGTGAGGGGGGTACAGAGCTTCTTCACGCGGCCTGCCGGGCACTGAGGTGAGGAAAGGAGATGACGCGTGGAGGTGAGGGAGGAGGTGGCGGGGAAAGTGAAGGCGCAGAGCGAAAAGGGAGAGTGGAGGGCAGAGTCTCGCGACTACACGGTCAACCCCGTCAAAGCCCAAAACCCAAGCTCGATCATGCACGCACATCGGTGCAGCAGGCACACACACCAGCTTGTGCAGAGCGCAACACATGCACATGCGCACGCACATTCGTCTAGCCCGGAACGCACGCACGCACCTGTCGTGAATAGCCCCGCAAGCACGCACCTCGGAGATCTCGGCGATGTATTGGCGAGGGTTCGGCTTTCGCACGGTCAGCTCGCACTCCTGCGACGGGCAGGCGAAAAAAACGTGCGGGAACGGGGTGATGAACGGTCAGATTACGAGTCCAGGAATGGTGAGATTTTCCGTAAAACTCATCAGGGTGTTGCGCGCATGAATGCAGAGCGACGCGCGAAGAAAACGACCAGGGGGGACGCACTGCAAGATCATAAGCAGATTTGATAAGTAGGGATGGGACGATACGTCGAGTTGATAAGGAAACAGCTTGTGAGAGCGAGCCGGCGCGCGAGATGCCGTACCTTGAGCAGCGCGAACGTGTCCTCCGCCATGCGACCTTTACTCGGCAGCGAGTTGACTTTTGAGTTGACCTTTAAGTTGACTCAAGTCAACGTAAAAGTCAAGAGGGGATCACCACAATCTTGTACCTTGAGAAGCGCGAGTGTGTCTTCCGCCATGCGACCTTTACTCGGCAGCGCCAGTCGCACAATGTCGCGCTGGCGACTCCTCCCCGCCGTCGCCTGCGACGCTGCCGCGGCAGGGGCAATGAGCGCGTGGGGAACAGCCACCCAAGCAAGGGGGATGTGTTGAGGGGGGAAGAGGGTGTAGAGAAAGTGGGGGGATGTTGGTGTGTCTGGTGGTGAGGTAGCGTAGATAAAGACAGCGATTTTTTTTCTCTCATTTTTTTATTCTCTCTGGAACCGGTTGGCGGGATAGAGCGAGCAACGTTGACAAGATCCAGGTGAAAAGTTAAGGGTTGCACCCGTTTTTGGACTGCCAATTAAAGGGTACTAGGCTCTAAGAGGAAAACGAGGGCTTTTGGAGTGGAAAAGGATTCACCAATGCGACGCATTCCTTCTTGCGACTGAGTTGCCGGATCGACTAGGGTACGTGACGTGGCATTGTCAAACTAGGGATTAAAATAGGAAGCAACAACGTCCTTCCGTTGAACAGTACAGGGTTTCTAAACGAGACGGTAGTCGATTACCAAGTGAGCTGGCTTATATCGAGACGTCAAAAAAAGGGGACGAGGGATGCGGAGTTTACAAGGGGAGCTCGTTGTCGCTGCTGCAGCGGCTGCCGCCGAAGCGCCAGCTGCAGCCTCGCAGCGCCATACAAGCCGGCCCTTAACATCGCGGCTCGGCGCAATGCGCACAACGATGGGAACGCCTTTGATAGCGGAGGAAGAGCCTTTGATCGCCGGCGAGGAGGCGAGCATTGGTTGCGGGAAGACCCGTCTAAGGACGCAGTTCGCCATGCTGCGGTGCGACGAAAGGGTCACGTACAACAGGGTAGCTATGCGCCCTAGAGACAAGCGACAGCACGACGTGAGGCGGTTCTGATAGCACCGACGAAAAGTGTAAAAGTCGCCGAGTGATGCCAGTGGTTTAGGAGCAAGAAATCCGTGCAGCCAATTGGAGGGCCAAGCGAACTCACGCATCAGTGGATGGTGTGTGGCCTGGGTGAAAGTTTGCGATTGGTGGAACTCCGATGTTGGGCTGGGCTGAAACGAATCTCCTCGGATATATCCGTTTGGCCGGAAACTGCTGTTCCGTAAAAAAAAAATGTTAACAGGAATCTATGCCCCGTCATATAACTGTAGAAGCATCAGCTATAATGGATAAAACGAGACTGTCAGGAACGAGTACAAATCTATTATTCCTTTAGTTCCTGCCATTACTGCTTGCAAGCTTTACCAGAGTTTCCGATCTTCCGACTGCGTCATCCCGAACCTTCGCCAGCCAAGCATGCCCTCTGCTCCTGCCGCTCCGATCCATGCATCCGCCGATGGGCTTCAGGTAGCCGTCCGATCAACGTGGCGCGTGGCGCACGGCGATTGGTCGTCCGTGTCCCACGTATCAGAAGCACAGAGCGAGGACCTTAAAATCGCGGAACCATGCGACGGGGAGTTGAATGGAGAGGAAGGCGGAGGGGGTGGCGGAATCTGCGGAACAGTGGAGTTGGAGCGGGAGGAAGGCTCGTCTGGTTGCGTCTTGACATGTGGGTCTTCGGATCGCACCCTACGTATGATGACTCAAAAATCGCCTCATCGCTTGGCGTGTGGTCATGTGGATCGCACCCTCTCGGCATTGAAGCTCGTAGTTTCCCCGCCGCTCTACATTTCCTCCTCAACCCTCTCTGTTTAATCCCCTGCCTCCGCGTTCTAACCCGCTTCTCCCCGTTCCTGCCCGCTCCTCCGCCGTTTGCCGCTTCCGCCGTTATTTCTGAATCCTCCGCTTCCCCCTTTCTCCTATGTAACCCCTCCGCCCCCCATTTCCCCCCTTCAGTTCCCCATCCTTCCTCTCTCCCCCCTTCTCCCCCGCCTCCCTCCTCACCACACTCCTACTCCTTCCGCCAGTGCTCTTCTCCGCCCGCTCCGTCCGCCTGCACTCCCTCCACCTCGTCACCTCGGCGCGCTTTGCTGAGCTGTACGCAGCTCATGCCACGTGGCAGGGCGGCACGGGGCAGGGGGAGGGCGCACCCGGGGGAGAAGATTTGGGGGAGTATGTGTGCACTGTCAAGGGGGAACCCGCGGGGGCGATGGGAGGGGGAGCGGGAGGAGGCGGAGGAGGGGGAGGGGGAGGGGGAGGGGGAGGGGGCACGGGGACGGGTGGGGAAATGAGAGGAGCAGGGGGAGGAGAAGGCAACAACGGTCCTCCTCTCCACTCCCTCCTCTTGCAGATCGAACCTCCCCCAGAAGCAGACGACTGCTCCCACAGCGACTGTGGCTCCGAAGCAGAAGCAGCTTCAACATCAGGCTCGGCAACAGGCTCGGCAACAGCAGCGGCAGGGGCATGCCTCTCCGACGCATGGCTCTGCTCGCTCTCTCTCAAGCTCCTAGGTCTCAGGGGAGGGTCTACAGTCTCTATCCACTCCCTCCGCCTCTCACTCTCCCCTGGCCCCTTCCTTCCCTCCTCTCTGCCTCACTCCGCCCCTTCCGCTGCCGCCGCTTCTGCTGCTTCATCTGCTTCTGTTTCAGCTGCGGCTGCAGCTGCTGGTGCTGATGCTGCTGCTGCTGCTGCTGCTGCTGCTGCAGAAGAGACAACAGCAGCAGTAGCTGCTGCGCCGAACCTCCTGCCGAGCCTGTCTCCGAACCTGTTGTCAATGCTGCCTCAAGAGGTGCTGGCTAAGCTGCCTCCGAACTTGCCTGCTGCTTTGGCAGGTGGCATGGGTGGCATTGTTGGTGGTAACATGGGTGGTAACCCGAGTGGTAACATGTCAGCAACAATGCTCCCGCTCCTCCTCGCGTCCCTTGCAGCTCCCTCCAAAACCCTCCGCCCTCCCCCTTCCTCTGCTCCCTCCCTTCCCTCCTTCCCTCCCAGCATCACCTCTCACACTCCCCTCGCTCCTCTCTCTGCTCCTCCTCCTAACCCGCCTCCCTCCCAAGACCTCCTCACTCACTCGCCTCTCCTCCTTTCTCTCGTGCATCGAGTGGAGCGATTGGAGAGGGTGTGTGCCAGGCTGGAGGCGCAGGTGACAGGTGGCATGTCGCGATTGGCCACACGGCTGGATAAGGTTGAATCCAGCGTTCGTGTGATGCAGGCGACTCATGCCTCCCCCACTGCATCTGCTTTGGCAACTGCTGGCACTGCTGCTACAACTGGTGCTGATGCTGCACCTGGTGCTGATGCTACAACTGATGCTACAGCTGCTGCTGCTGATGCTACAGCTGCTGCAGCTTCTGCTGCTGCATCCACTCGGTTTGAGGCACCTCAAACGTCTCATGTTCGTGTGATGCAGACGTCTCATGCCTCCCCCATTGCTTCTGCTTTGAATCCTGCTGCTTCTGCTTCTGCTGATACTGCTGCTGATGCAACACCTCATGCTGCTCCTTCCACTCGATTCGAGGAACCCCAAACTGCTGCTTCTACACCTCTACTCCCTGATACAGTTTCTGCTACAGCCACTGCTGCACCAATCAACACAGCCGCGGCTACAACCGCTGCTGCTCCCACCACCACAGCGGCTGCTACAGCAGCTAGCGAAGCAGCGGTTGCTCCAAGCACTCTCGCAGCCAGGAATTTCATGGGCGGGGTTGACGGGGCAAGGGAGGGTAAGGGGATGGAAGAGACGCGGAAGGAGGGGGAGGAAGGCACAGGGAGGGATGTAACGACCGAAGTGGTGACTGATGCTGGTGGTGGCAGTGGTGGCAGTGGTGGTGGTGATGATGGTGGTGGTGGTGGTGGTGGTGGTGGTGGTGGTGGTGGTGGTGGTGGTGGTGGTGGTGGTGGTGGTGGTGGTGGTGGTGGTGGTGGTGGTGGTGGTGGTGGTGGTGGTGGTGGTGGTGGTGGTGGTGGTGGTGGTGGTGGTGGTGGTGGTGGTGGTGGTGGTGGTGGTGGTGGTGGTGGTGGTGGTGGTGGTGGTGGTGGTGGTGGTGGTGGTGGTGGTGATGGTGGTGGTGGTGGTGGCAGTGGTGGCAGTGGTGGTGGTGGTGGTGGTGGTGATGGTGGTGGTGATGGTGGTGGTGGTGATGGTGGTGGTGGTGATGGTGGTGGTGGTGATGGTGGTGGTGACGAGGGTTCTGCTGCTGCTGAGACAGCAGCTGCAGAGGCAGTTAAGGCAATGGAAGCAGCAGCAGCTACTGCTGTTGCAAAATCAGAAAGGCATGTAGCAAATGCGGAGGAAGCAGCAGCAGCAGCAGCAGATGCCAAGGTAGTAAAAAAGCAAGGGGTGGATGACTTCCTAAAAGAGATACTTAGCCGAATGGAGCGGCGGCAGCAAGCAGAATCTCTTAAAGAACCAGGGGCTGCTGTGGTGCAAGGGGGGGATGCTACCTTGATGGAAATTACGGGGAAACGTGGAGTGGGGTGGGATGAGAGCAGCAGTGGGAGGGAGAAGGGGAGAAGTGCTACGGGGGAAAGTGGGAATGAGAAGGAGGATGGGGGGTTTGGAGGGGAAGAGGGGAAAAAGGCTTTTGGGGTCCCTCTAAGGAATGGTGAGGCTGAGGACGAGGGCAAGGAGGAGGCTGAGCAAGTGGAGGAGGAAGACGGGGAAGCGGTGTCTGTGGTTCCTCTTAGGAATGGTGAGGCTGAGGAGGGGGGGAGGGAGGCTGAGCAAGTGGAGGAGGAGAGGGATGCGTTGGGAGCGGAGGAGGGGGGTGAGAAGAGCAGAGTGGAGCATTGTGGGGATGTGCAAGGCTCATCCGAAGCAGAGATGAGACCAGAAGGGAAGGCTGTGGAGGAAGCAGGTGGTGAGATGGGGGGAGGTGGTGGGATGGGGGAAGGTGGTGAGATGGAGGGGGATGGTGAGATGGGGGGAGGTGGTGAGATGGGGGGAGGTGGTGAGATGGGGGGAGGTGGTGAGATGGGGGGAGGTGGTGAGATGGGGGGAGAAGTAAGGGTGGGGGAAGGTCACTCGAGCAAGTTGCACTGTATTCTGGAAAAGCAGATAGAGAGTGGTGGGGGGTTGGCGGAGAGTGGTGGAGAGGTTTTATGGAAAGGAGGGGAGCCCGCAGAAAGACTAGCAGCAGAAATGGGATAGAAGGGGGTTGGTGAAGGAGGGGGGTTTCGAGAAGAGAAGCAGCAAGGAGAAGGCATCAGTTCTGGTTCGCAAGAGTTAAGTTCAGCGCAAGAGGACGTTCGCACCTGTACCCAAGAATCGTCGACACGTTACCGAAGGATCCGGCTAGACTCAAAACACGGGCTAGACTCAAAACACGGGCGAGACTCAAAACACGGGCTAGACTCAATACACGGGCTAGACTCAACACGGGCTAGACTCGAAATGTGCCGAGTGTTGGACAGGCATGTGAAGATCGATCGGTCTACGTGGCGACGAATGTGCGAGGTGTTATAGAGTGTGGGACAAATCGCAATGGTGTCATCTTCGAGTCTGTTCATGTAGAGGTGAATGTCTCAGGTTACACTCCACATGGATAAAATGGTTAGTGTTAAGTTACAAGTAGTAACTTACAACTCAACCTGCAACAAAGCACAAGCTACCCTAACAAAAGAATGGTGGCAATTTGGCCACCAAAATAAAAGGAACAATGTTCACAGCCGCCTGCTAAACATAATAATGATGTTATGTCAGTCGCTCCACAACACCAAGCTGGAGCCACAATGGAGGCACCGACAGCGCCCTTAATGGACCCTGCATGCCCTTCATGCGCTTTATTCAACGCCAGCAACTGCTCTCCCTCCACCGGTCGTTGTTATTGGTGTTGCCACTGCCAAGCCGGGTGAAGCAGAAGATGGTTGTTAGTTCATGTTAAGCACCTGCCACGCCATGGCCGTGTGAAAACTAGAAATGGTGCCATCCGTGCTGCCCATGCTGCTTGTGCTGCCCATGCTGCTTGTGCTGCCCATGCTGCTTGTGCTGCCCATACTGCTTGTGCTGCCCATGCTGCTTGTGCTGCCCGTGCTGCCCGTGCCGCACGTGCTGCAGATGCAACTGCAGATACCAGACCCACCCCAACCACTCCCCCCACCCCTCCCCTTACCCACAGGCATTCCCCCCTCACTCAAAAAAACCCCTGTTGGCACCCTCTCTCCCTGCTGCTGCTGCTGCTGCTGCTGCTGCTGGTGCTGCTGCTTGTGAGAATCCTCAGACGAGACTCCAACAAAATAGAGTTGCGCCACACCAGTCCATCACGACTGCTTGCTGCTGCTCCCACCTGTCCCTCGACTATTCCCACCACACCCTCTACAGGCTGACTCGCTATAAGCACAGTATTTAATCCTGGGAGCTGTCAATATCGTGAATGTCGTCGAGATTGATCAGCACCGGTGAGGATGGACGCACAGCACGGGAGGCCGAAGCCTTTTTGAGTCGACCCGAAAATCGGTCTCCGGATTTACTCCTGGGAGCTGTCAATGTCGTCAATGTCATCCAAATTGATCACCACTGGTGAGGACGGACGCACGGGACGGGGAGCCGGAGCTATAGGCGAAGAGAAAGTTGCAGGAAAAGCCGACGCCACTAGGGGTGACGCTGGCTTGAGTGCAGGTGGGGGATCCCGAACGTCAGGTGAAAAGTCAGGTGATTTTGGGAGGGTAAAGGCATGATCCAACTCCATCAGGTCAATCGAGTTCACTGCTGCAGCTGGTGTAAACCCTCCTCCTCCGGCTGCTGCTGCTGCTGGTATTCTTGGTGCCATCACATTGGCTCCATTCCTCTCACACCAGGTGTCCGTGTCAACACATGCTTGACCACCAGCAGCACACACACCCTCACTGCCAGGAATTCTCATAACCGGCTTAACAATTGGTGCACTGTGGTTTGCAAGCTTTAAGTGCGGTGCAGTGCGTTTCACCATTGTTGATAGGTGACGACCCACTGCTGGCTTCAACTGTGGCTCTCCCACGCCTCTTTGCGATGAGACTGCTGCTGCTGCTGCTGCTGCTGCTGCTGCTGCTGCTGCTGCTGCTGCTGCTGCTGCTGCTGTTGCAGGGACAGGAACAGGGGCAGGAGCAGGAGCAGGAACAGGAGCAAAAGTGGCAGGAGCAGCAGGGGCAGAAGAAGAAGCAGCGGCTGCAACGGAGAAACAACCGGTAAAATCTCCAGCAGCGGTGGTGGCTGGAGAACTTAGCTCACAATGCTCCTGCTGCTGCCCAGGAGGTTGATCGGTGAACCGCCTTCGTGGCCGTGGAACACAGATCCCTTTGACCTCCTCCCTTTGACCAGCGTTGACCCTCTTTCCTTGACCCGCGTTGACTCCTTCCCAGTCAGCAGCACCCGCCCACACCCCGTGACCAGCATACACCGCACCTGGACTCCCATAGGCAGAGAAGCCAGGGCTAGCAGCAGCCAGAGTGAATTCAGTGGATGGTTGGCGAGAGATAGGGGGGCACTGAGTAGGAGCAGGAGCAGGAGCAGGAGCAGGAGCAGGAGCAGGAGGAGGAGCAGGAGCAGGAGTAGGAGGAGGAGCAGGAGCAGGAGCAGGAGCAGGAGCAGGAGCAGGAGCAGGAGCAGGAGCAGGAGCAGGAGCAGGAGCAGGAGCAGGAGCAGGAGCAGGAGCAGGAGCAGGAGCAGGAGCAGGAGGAGGAGGAGGAGGAGGAGGAGGAGGAGGAGGAGGAGGAGGAGGAGGAGGAGGAGGAGGAGGAGGAGGAGGAGGAGGAGGAGGAGGAGGAGGAGGAGGAGGAGGAGGAGGAGCGGGAGGAGGAGCGGGAGGAGGAGCGGGAGGAGGAGCGGGAGGAGGAGCGGGAGCGGGAGCGGGAGCGGGAGCGGGAGCGGGAGCGGGAGCGGGAGCGGGAGCGGGAGCGGGAGCGGGAGCGGGAGCGGGAGCGGGAGCGGGAGCGGGAGCGGGAGCGGGAGCGGGAGCAGGAGCAGGAGCGTCAAGGGCAGCAGCGACAGCAGCAGCAGCAGCAGCGGCAAGGGCAGGGACATGATTGGTTGCACTGTCAGTTGCACGATGAGGGGCAGCAGCACCAGCAGCAGTGGCAAAGTTACTGGATACACTCTGAGGCAAGGAGATGTCAAAAGCAGTGGGAGTTGCAGCAGAAGAACCTGCTGCATCAGCAGGGATGGGGGTTCGAGCTGCAGTAGCAACAGCAACAGCAGAAGCAGCAGCAGCAGCGGTGGTAGCAGCAGCAGCAGCGGTGGTGGCAGCAGCAGCAGCAGCAGGGGCAGGGGTGGTGGCGGCAGCAGCAGCAGCAGCAGCAGTAGTTGCAGTGTTCCGAGTCACACCAAGAGGACAGGAGGTATGAGGAGTAGGAAGATCAGCCACGGGAGTTGCAGTGTCAGACGAGGGAGCAGAAAGACAAGAAGCAGCAGCAGCAGCAGTAGCAGCAGCAGCAGCAGCAGCAGCAGCAGCACCACCACCACCAACAGAATCAGCAGCAGCACCACCACCAACAGCATCAGCAGCAGCACCACCACTAACACCAGCAGCAGCACCACCACCACTAACAGCAGCAGCAGCACCACCACCAACAGCAGCAGTAGCACCAGCAACACCACCACCACCAACAGCACCACCACCGGCAGCAGCAGGTACATTGTTACGAGTCACACGAAGAGGACAGGGAGCATCGGGAGGTGCTGCAGCAGTGCCAGCAGCAGCAACACCAGCAGCAGCAGCAGCAGCAGCAGCAGGGACATTGTTACGAGTCACACGAAGAAATGCGGGATCATGCGGAGCAGCAGCAGCAGCAGCAGCAGCAGCAGGAGCAGCAGCCACGACATTGTTACGATTTACACCAAGACGAGAGGGACCACGACGGGCTGGTGCACCAGCAGCACCAGCAGCACCAGCAGCACCAGCAGCATCAGCAGCATCAGCAGCATCAGCAGCAGCAGCAGCCGTTGCAGTGTCACGCGTTACACCAGGAGGAGTGGCGGCCGGGACACGAGAAGCAGGTTTTGCAGGAGAGGAGGCAGCAAGAACCGCGTCAGCAGAGAGGAACCACTCGTGACCACACGTTGCACACTCCAACTGGAGGAAGGGAGGGGTGGGGAGAGAGGAGGGGGGGGGGGATGGTGGCGGGAGGGGAATAATTTTTCAACATGGTATCAAAGAAAGTGGCAGCAGCGACCAACCTCTCGTGACAGAACAAAAAGTCTTCCCCATGCGATGGGAGTGGAAGTAAGGAAGAAAGTAGGTGCGGACTCACCTTGTACTGCTGCCCCTTGGAGCTGTTGAGGACGTTCAAAACCTTCAATTGCTGGTTCCCCCACACGACCACATCCCCAGCCACTGCACTTTGAAACGTGTCAACACTCACTCGCCGTCCTCACCTTGTACTGCTGCCCCTTGGGGCTGTTGAGGATGTCCAGAATCTTCACCTGCCGGTCCCCTCGCCAGCTGCATTGGGAGCACCGTATCCCCACCCACTGCACACACTCGCTGCGCCTGGGCCTGGCAACAGGCGGGGCAATCAGTGCCTTCTCCCGCCTTGTCAGACCGTCCTGAAAAAGAAGGAAGGAGGAGAGGGGGAAGGGTTGGGCGGGTGGTGTGAGGAGGTGGTCCGATGGAGTGCGGAGTGGGGAAGGAGGGAAAAAAAGCGTAAGAAAAAAACGATTTATAAGTAGTGATATTACTGAAAGTCGTCCAGGGAAATAGTGACAGAACATATGCTGGCTGGAGGAAGTGAGACGAAGGAAACAATTGCCTTCAGTTCCTCCGGTGACATGGAGAGCACAACTGGTGGCGAGAGCTCGCCCAGAACGAAGCGACGCGATAAGCAGTTTCCACTCTGTAGACGTGCATAGATAGGGGTGGCAGGCAGATGCAAGGCGTGTGTTTGTAGATGACATGCGGAAAAAACGTCATGTGGAGGATGCACGACGCCAGCACGCAATGCACAGCTCGAAAGAAAGATAGGAGATGAAATCAACAGAAGAGCAATCGAAAGAAGGCAATCGACTAGACTCAGCTCGAAAATTGCTCACACAAACCAGAGCTCGGAAACATTCTTGGACCTTTTCCCAGCAATTAATAAGACCTTCTCAAAACTACTCACCTTGAAATTTGCTCGCACGGATCTGAGCTTGACAGTATACCTGGACCCCACGCCATCCCCCAGCGTCTCATTCGCGAG